TGGTGGTGGATAGCATTTTTCATCATAAGTCCTTTGGCATTGTCTTAGAACATTGTATTGCTGAGAACAGCTAAGTCATTCACAGTTGATCATCATTACAATATTGCTGTGACTGTGTACAATGTTTTCCTGGTTCTGCTCACTTCACTCTGCATCAGCTTATGTAAGTCTTTCCAGGTTTATCTGAAAGTATCCTATGCCTCATTTTTTATAGCACAGTAGTATTCCATCACAATCATATACCGCAGCTCGTTCAGCCATTTCCCAATTGATAGGCTTCCCCTCAATTTCCAATTTTTTGCCACCACAAAAAGAGCTGCTATAAATATTTTTATACATATAGGCCCTTTTCTTTTTTTTTCCATCTCTTTGGGATACCGACCTGGATCAAAGAGTATGCACATTTTTATATCCCTTTGGGCAAAGCTCCATATTGCTTTCCTGAATGGTTGGATCAGTTCACAACTACATCCACAGCACATTAGTATCCCAATTTTTCCACATCCCCTCCAACATTTGTCATTTTTGTTTTCTGTCCTGTTAACCTGTCTGATAGGTGTGAGGTGGTCATGTCTTTAAATTTGCATTTCTCTAATCAATAAGGATTTAGAGCATTTTTTTCATATGACTATAGATAGTTTGATTTCTTCTGAAAACTACCTATTCATATTCTTTGACCATTTATCAATTGGGAATGACTTAGATTCTTATAAATTTGACTCAGTTCTCTATATATTTGAGAAATGAGGCCTTTGCCACATGCTGTACATTTTTTCACAGTTATGATTACTGTGTATTTTCCTCCATCCTATTACCCTCTCCTCTCTTTCCTCTTTCACCCTTTTCCTCCTAAAAATCGTTTTGCTTCTCACCACCATTTCCCCCATTCCCCTCTTCCTTCTATCAGCTTCCTTCCTTTTCTTGTCTTCTTTCCCTCCTTCTTCCCTATAGGGCAAAATAGACTTCTATTCCCAACTGAGTTATTCCCTCTTTGAGCCAATTGCAATGAGAGTAAGGTTCAAAAGTTATCTACAACCCCAACCCCCATCTTTCCTTCCACTGTAAAAGCTCTTTTGGTCCTCTTTTATGTGAGATAATTTACACCTTTCTATCTTTCCCTTCCCTCAGTGCATCCTTCTTTCTCACCCCTTAATTTAATTTTTTTAGATATCATCCCATCGTAGTTAACGTATACTTGTGCCCTCTGTCTAACTGCCCTAATAATGATAAAGTTCTTAGGCGTTGTAAGTACCAGCTTCCCATGTGTGAATGTAAACAGTTTAACCTTATTGAATCCCTTATGATTTCTCTTTCTTATTGACCTTTTTATACTTCTTTCAAGCCTTATATTTGAAAATCAAATTTTCTATGTAGCTCTGGTCTTTTTATCAGAAATACTTGAAAGTTCTCTATTTCACTAAATATCCATTATTTCCCCTGAAAGATTATACTCAGTTTTTCTGGGTAGGTGATTCTTGGTTATAATCCTGGCTCCCTTGCCCTCCAGAATATTATATTCCAAGCCCTCTAATCCTTTAATGTAGAAGCTGCTAAATCTTGTGTTTTCATGACCATGACTTCACAAATTTGAATTGTTTCTTTCTGGCTGCTATCAATATTTTCTTCTTGACCTGGAAGCACTGGAATTTGGCTATAATATTCCTGTGAGTTTTCATTTAGGGATCTCTTTCAGGAAGTGATCAGTGAATTCTTTCAATCTCTATCTTACCCTCTGGTTCTAGGGTTATCAGGGCAGTTTTCCTTGATAATTTCTTGAAATATGATGTCTGGCTCCTTTTTTGATCATGGCTTCCAGGTAATCTGATGATTCTTAAAGTAGCTCTTCTGGATCTATTTTCCAGGCCAGTTGTTTTTTCAATGAGATATTTCGCATTTCCTTCTATTTTTTTTATACTTTTGAATTTGTTTTATTATTTCTTGATGTCTCATGGAGTCATTAGCTCCCAGTTGCCCAATTCTAATTTTTAAGGAACTATTTTCTTCAGTGAGCTTTTGTAACTCCTTTTCCATGTGGCCATTTTTGCTTTTTAAGGATTTCTTCCCTTCAGTGGATTTTTGTGCCTCTTTTACCATTTGCCTATTCTGTTTTCTTAAGTTGCTATTTTCTTCAGTATTTTTTTTTGCTTCCTTTACCAAGGTGTTAACTCTTTTTTCATGATTTTCTTGCATCACTCTCATTTCTTTTACTAATTTTTCTTCTTCCTCTCATATTGATTTTTTAAATCCCTTTTGAGCTCTTCCAGGAATTCTTTGTGGGCCTGAGAACAATTCATATTTTTCTTTGAGGCTTTGATTTGGCTGTTTTGATTTCATTGTCTTCTGAGTTTGTGTTTTGATCTTTCCTGTTACCACAGTAACTTTCTATGGTCGGGTTCTTTTGTTTGTTCATTTTTCTAGCCTATTGCTTGACTTTTTACTTGGTGTTAAAGTTGGGCTCTGTTCCCAGGGTGGAGGGGACACCACTCCAAGCTTCAGGTTTTGTAGCTGCTGTTTTCAGAGCTAATTCTGGGGTTCTATAAGGTTTCAGTTCTTCCAAGGTTATATGATCTAAGGAGAGGTGTGGTCACTGCTCTCCTGGCCTTGCACTCTGGTCTGTGAGCAACCACAAGCATTCTTTTCCACCCTGGAACTATAACCAGTATACCAGTGCTCCTCCCCCAACAACCACAACCCAGAATCACATACGGTCAATAGAACAGAGACCTCCACCCAGTGCCAGCAAACGGTCCCCTGTAATCTCCTTCTGACCAGTTGTCTGACCCCCTTACCATCTGTGAGCTGAGAGTTCTGGAAGCTGCTGCCACTTCAGGCACCCATAAGGCCTGCTCTGGATTATACTTTACTCTCATCCCAGTGAGACAGACCTTTCCTGCCAACCTCTTAAGTTGTCTTGGGCTGGAAAATTGTTTCACCCTATCCTTTTGTTGGTTGTGCCACTCCAGAATTTGTTTGAGGTATCATTTTAAAGTTGTTTGCAGGGGAATTGGGGAGAGCTCAGGGCGGTACCTGGGCCTTGACTCCACCATCTTGGCTTTACCTCCAGGATATTGTTTTAAAATGCATAAAATAAAACAGAGGATAACAAAGGAAACCAATTACATTGAAATATAGTTATCACTGACTTTTTAAAAAATTTCATGCAACTTCTTGAAATTTATCTCCAGGTTAAAAACCCCTGCCCAGCACCTAGAAGGTACCTGGCAGTTAATCAATATTTCTTGACAAAATGAATGAATCTGAAGTCTTGGGACCAGGACAAATGAGAGAATAGGTCTACAAATACTCTGAAAATCAGGAGGGATTATAACTATGACTAATAAAAGTTCTGACTACTTCCAAAGTGTTCTGCTTTGCCTTCATTCCAACCATTAAATCAGACCAAATGGTGCCCCAGTGCCTTTTATTACCTTAAGGTTCCTGCAGGGGCCGTCACACCTTCATCTATGCCTTGTGTCATCCTCAAGATTAGACAGAAGATAATGGCGACTCTGCCACAGCCTAGATCCCTGGGGAGCTCAGAGCTATTGACTTCAGAGGCCAATTCAGAAGATTTAAAGCTAAAAGGGACCTTAGACATCATCTACTCCAACCCCTCTTATTTCACAGATCCAACAAAACATTTGAGTTCAACATTTATTAAGCACCTACTGCATAAAGTTCTGTGCTAAGCACCAGTAATACAAAGACAAAAACAAAATAGTTTAAAATTTTGCAGATGAGGAAACTGAAGCCAAGAGGTCAAGTGAATTAACCAGGCTCATTTGAATCAGGAATTATCATTATTATCATCATCATCATTATTATTACTAATAACTGACATTTACATATCACTTACTATGTGCCAGGCACTGTGCTAAGCACTTTGCAATTATTATATCACTTGATACCCACAACAACCTTAAAAGGTAGATGCTACTTTTATCCCCATTTTACAGGTAAGAAAACTGAGGCAAACAGCGATTTAAGTGGACTTACTCAGGGTCACACAGCTAGGAAGTGTCTGAGGCTGGATTGACCTCAGGTCTTCCTGGCTCCAGGCATAGAGCTCTATCCACTTTGCCACCTTGCTTGCCAAGCAGAGCCAGGGTTAGGACATATGTCTTCAGACTTCAAACCTAGCATTTTTTTCTGTTTCACTTTATTGCCTCCTTTAGGGTTCTCATTGGTAGCTTGGGCTGATGTTCTGTGGCTCCGTAGTGCATGGACAATCCTGCCTTTCTTGAGGAAAATAGAAAATGATTTTTTAGTATTTGGGATATTACGACCAGTTCTAGAATTTAACTCCATTCTGAGGAGACCCTAACTGAAAAGCAAGGGAATTGTTGGGGAGGGGCAGCCAAGGATAATTACCTCTTAGGATCACTTGGTGCCAGAGGTCTTCCTCAGTTTCCTAGTTACCAGGCAGGATATTTCAGAGGCTGCTATGGCCTCCTCCTTTTCTTTCCTCTCCTTCTTCATCTGTCTGTCCTGACACTGAGCAGTCTTCAGATTTTTGACAAGAAAAGGGCCCAAACTCTTAGGGGGTGGGGAGTGGTGTGGTGGATTGGGAGTCTGGAGACACTTATATTCAAATCCTGCCTGTGACATTAGCTCCACGACCTTGGACAAATTGATTGCTTAGCCCCTCTGAATCCCAATTTCCTTATCTGCAAAATGAAGGTCATATTATCTATAGTCCCTGTTTCACAGGGTTAATGTGAGGCTCTAGTGAGGTCATACATGTAAAATGCCTTGCTCAGTCCAGTGGAATGAGTACTGGCTATGAAGCCAGGGGACCTGGGTTCAAATCCTGCCTCTGTTGCTTACTCAATGTGATCATCAATTAACATGGAATTACCATAAAGTAACGTGAAAATGTCAGCTCTTGTCATGGTCCCCAGTTTGATCTCCTTGTCCCAGGAAAGTTCAACAGGCTTCCCTTCCGCCTTCCCATCCACCCTCTCTGATCCCTTGGGCCTCCCCTCCCCTTCTCCTTGCAGCATGGGCCTCCTACATGACGAACTCCCCGACACTTATTGTAATGATTGGCCTGCCAGCCCGGGGCAAGACCTATGTATCCAAGAAACTCACCCGCTACCTCAACTGGATTGGGGTCCCCACCAAAGGTAGGTGCAGTTTAGTCTGTAGGGACAGTAGCCTGGAGAGGGGGAAGGATAGAGAGGAATTGGGCTCTTGGGACCCCTTGGTCCTTTGCTTAGGGGGCTTAGGGGTGTCTGGGGCTTGGGGATTCAGTTTGCGTGCTCCCAAATTTCTATAGCAGGCAGTACTAGTGTTCCACAAGTCTGGTAGCTCAATGTCCTTCCCTGCCCCTCGGCAAATTTATAGCTATTTTCTGGAGTGGTTGACTAGGGTGAAGGGTGGGGAGGGGGGAACATCTCTGTTCCCAGGCTTGGAACAGACTTGGGGAGGGCAGTGGCAGGAGTTAGGGGGGCAGGCTGGGCTAGTATTTCTAGTCCTGGTCTTCAATTTGGGTTAGATTAGCCTGGTCTGGGGAATGACTGATTTCTAACCCAGGGGCACCCCATTGACACTGGGGCTATTATGGCATTTAGGGGCTAAAGGGTAGGAGTTTTTTCCACAGTTTTTAATCTCGGGGTGTATCGACGTGAAGCAGTCAAATCATATAAATCCTACGACTTCTTCCGTCATGACAATGAAGAGGCCATGAAGATCCGAAAGTAAGTTTCCCCTCCATGAGGATAGGCATAGGCAAGTCACAGCCACAGAGAGGAATGGTCAGGGCAGGCACTGGCTTTCCTTTTAGACAGTAGATCCTGGGGATTTCCAAAAGAAATTTATCCAACTAGCTCCCATAGGCTCTGAGGACAAAGGAGTGAGGCTAAAGAAGCCTCTGACCTTAAAATCTAATCATCCCTGCCTTCTTGATAGCTGGCCTCAAAAATGTGTGAGATTGATCTGAAGGGGAGGGTTCAAAAGGTCTTAGGGGGGAATTAAGAATGTGAATCAGGGGACAGACTGGAAAGGAGAGGAGAACGGAGTGAGCAAAGATGTGTCTCTAACTGATCCGATTTTGCCCTTTCTCCTATTGTCACTGTATAATCTTCTAGGACCCCTGCCTTACCCATTCTCTCTTTTTACAGACAGTGTGCCCTGGTGGCCCTACAAGATGTTAAGGCATATTTCACATATGAGTGTGGTCAGATTGCGGTAAGTATTGCCTATCCTCTTCCGCCCTCCTCCCCGCTCTGCTCCTCTCCCCCCTCTTCAGCTCCATCTTGAGTTTCCATTCAGGTAACAGGTATACCCTTTGCATACTATCCCTTGCCCCCTCCAGCCCACACACTGTGCTTTCTTCCTCAGGTATTTGATGCTACCAATACCACCCGGGAAAGAAGGGACCTGATCTTGAACTTTGCCAAGGAGAACGCCTTCAAGGTTGGGTCTGGCTCCTGATGCCCGGGTGGTGGGGCTGGGGAGTGGTTGAGGAAGGAGTTAGATGTTTAGGACTCTTCCCTTGGGTCTGGTTCCCAATCCTGTTGTTTCAGATGCTTTCTCAGACCCATGGCCTGTGTGCCTGAGGCCCTGGGAATGTGGTAAGATATATACATACGTACACACACACACACACACACACACACACACACACACACGTATGTGTGCATATACATATATGTGTATATACACGTGTGTGTGTGTGTGTGTGTGTGTGTGTGTGTGTGTGTGTGTGTGTGTGTGTGTGTGATTCTTGAAGGCTATTCTCTCCAGGAGACGCACAGAGAAGAAAACACGTCACTAGCCAGTAGCCCTTTCACACTGCTCACCGCTTCTCCATTGCCCTTCTCAGGTGTTCTTCGTGGAATCCGTCTGTGATGATCCTGATGTGATTGCAGCCAACATTCTGGTGGGTAACGCTCCATTCCCATGGCCACATCCGATCCTTTAGGGGTGTATGAGCCTTTCTGGTTAATGATGGGAAGGAACCAAGACTTAATACTGAAAGTAATCACTGCTCATGAGTTTCCAGCTTTGAGTAATATCATCCTGTTCCTCCTTACTGACGGATCAGGGACAAGTTTGGGGGGAAACACAGAAGAGGAAACTGACATACAGAGCTAGAAAGAGACGTGGCCTGGGGGCCAAAGCAAGGCAGCCTCGCAGTCTGAAATCCTGGCCCAAAGGTGTGAGTCATGACTGGAGGTTCAGACTCAGGCTTTTCTCCTGGGAGGGATCTGTCTAGTCTAGGAATGCCATCTGCCATGTCATTGTTTTGTCCCTGTATTTAGGCCCATGTGTAGAATAAGCCTGATTCCTGGGGGTGAGGGGGAGACTATTGATCCAGGGACATAAAGGAAGCAGGGTATAGAGGATAGAGGGCTTGACAGGAAGACTGTGGTTCAAATCCCATGTCAGACACTTACTGACTGTGTTACTTTGTGAAAGTCTCTTCACTTCTCTAAGTCTAATAATAAGTGTCTGTAAAATGGGGATAATAGTACCTATTTCACAGGGTGGTTGTGAGGGTCAAATGAAATCCTGTATTTCAGATGCTTTGTAGACTTTTAAAAGTGTCATTATCATAATTGTGTAATCATTAGTAATAATAATCATTATTATTACTGTTAGTAGAGTAAGAGAAAAATCCCTGGAGTTCCTCCTTCCCCCTTTTTTCCCAGCACATCTTATTTTTCCTAGGAAAAGGTCCAGGAAGAGCGTCAGCAAAGTTAAACTTCTGACTGTCCCCATGCTAGTGGCGATGATGTGACTCTACCTAGTTATTGCTCTCCATCCCATTGCCAGAGTTAGGAGAGATGAGTTGGGGGTGGGGGCAGAGGTCAAGGGAATTACTGTCCCTAAATGAAAGGCTGGCTTAAGCTCGCTAGCAGAGGCATGTGGGGGAAAGGGAGAGTAATGGAGGGAGAGCATCGGGAGGGGCTTGTGTCATGACTGGGTCCCGGCTAGTTTTATCCTTCCAGGAAGTGAAGGTCTCAAGCCCGGACTACCCGGAGAGGGACAGGGAGAATGTGATGGAGGACTTCCTGAAGAGAATCGAGTGTTACAAAGTCACCTATCGGCCTCTTGACCCTGACCACTATGACAAGTGAGGCTTGAGTCCTTGACCTTCACACAGTTATTTTGGGGTTTTGGGGGGTTGGGGTTGGGGTGCTGTGGTAAGGGGTGCATAGGATCACACCCTTCTCCAGCTCTTCTAGCAAATTTGGACCTCCTATGAGCCGAGGATTCCATAATTTCTCACCTATAATATATATATCATTTGAGAGGGCAAGGAGATATTGAAACTCAGTGGCTTATATCTGGGCTAAGTATTGAAGGGTTTTGGGCAGCTAATCCTCCATTCCCCAGGTAGTGTGTCATTATAGCTTTCTTTTGGAAGAGAGTGAGGAAGTGGGGGGAGGGAGAAGGGAAGGGGTATAAATATCTATTACTGTGTGCCAGGCACCCTGCTAAGTGTTTTACAAATATTATTTAGTTCTCACAACAGCCTTGTAAGGTAGTAAGGTTAATTTTATCCCCATTATACAGCTGAGAGAGCTGAGGCAGGTAGAGGTTAAGTGACTTGCCCAGGATCACACAGCTAATAAGCGTCTGAGGCTGAATTTGAACTTGGTCTTTTTGACTCCAGGTCCAGCACTCTGTGCACTATGGTGCCACTTAGGGCCTTTCTTTGATAGTACAGTTCAAGTCCTGACCGACAGGTAGAACCACCTGTGTGTCTTTGGGCCAGTCAACTTAAGTTTTCTGGGCTTCGGTTTCCTCATCAGTAAAATAAGGGAGTTCAGCTTGACCTTGGTCTTGTGGTCCTTGTCAGCTCTAAATCCATGATGCTCCATGCTGATGTTACTATGGTTACAAAACTCAGGGGTGTGCTGGTAAATGTTTAACCACCAGCTCTCAGGGAGGCAGGGATTGTGTGCCTACAACACACTTTGACATTTAATCTGCATTATTAACTTTTTCTCCATCACTTTCTTAAGTCTAGACAATCAACACAAGAGTAAATCAAGCTCTAATTTGTGGCATTTGCCAATTCTGAGACGTAAATGCTCACACTGAAAATCTAACAATCTCACAAGCTGGTATGAGCCAGCTCCAGCATATCCCTGGTTACCACCCTTCTTAACCTTTTAATACTAATAATAATTATAACCAAGATTTACGTAATTCTTTAAGGTTTGCAAAGCATTTTATAGGTATGTTATTTGATCCTTCCAACAACCCTGGGAGTTAGGTGCTGTTATTATTTTCATTTTACAGATGAAGAAATGGAGGCATGTCTCCCTACCTCCTGCTTTTCAGGTTCCTTTTGTGTGTTACCTTTCCCCATTAGATTGTAGGCTGCCCAAGAGCAGGGAATATATACAAATAACCAATATTTGTATTCCCAGTGCTTAGCACAGTGCCTGGCACATAGTATGTACTTAATACATGTTTCTTGACTGACTGACTGAGGCAGATATAGCTTAAGGGACTTGTCTAGAGTCACACAACTAGTAAGTGTTTGAGGGAGGTTTTGAACTATGCAGGTCTTCCACTCGAGAACCAGGACTCTAGCCACTTCACTGCTGAGCTGATCTCTTCAAGGGCATGGGCTACAGCTTCCATGTTTCTGCCAGAGTGTCCACTAGAGTAGGCACCTAATGATTTTAACCAAGTAAATCTTATTTAATCTTATTTGGGAAAAATTATTTTCTTATGGTTTGGTCAGGGGATGAGCACGCAAGACAGAGGGTGAGGTGAGGCTGGAAGTGATGAGAGGAAGAGCAGCTTTTGGGATTCATGTTGAGGGTGCACATTCTGAGTTTCCGCCCAGTCCTTCTCGCCAGGGTCTCACCTCTGGAGGGGTTCTTCTCCCCTCTTCTCCCTTCCGTGCCAGGGATCTGTCCTTCATCAAGGTGATCAATGTGGGGCAGCGGTTCCTGGTGAACCGGGTTCAGGACTATATCCAAAGCAAGATTGTATACTACCTCATGAACATTCACGTCCAGCCCCGAACCATCTATCTTTGTCGTCATGGAGAGAGCGAGTTCAACCTATTGGGCAAGATCGGTGGTGACTCTGGTCTCTCGTCCCGAGGAAAGCAGGTGAGCCCACAGCCAGCAGACCTCGAGGGGTCATGCTCGTTGTCATCAGCGTGTTCACCCCTTGGCCTCCCCTGCATCCACATTGACATTCTTAGTGTTGCCCAGATGGTTTGCAGAACAGGGATGGCGCTAGTCTGCCATATTGTAGTCTTGTCCTGTGTTTAAGGATATTGGGGGAGGTCTCACTTTCTTATCATTCCCAGTTCTATTGGAAGCCAGGCATCTGTTGCGTGAATTGCTGCGTTCTCAGCACTCTACCAGCTGCTCCAACTTAAATCCATTTCCTCTTGGACAGAGTAGTGGCTTTTCAGCTCTTTGATCATGGTCATCTTGGCCATCTCCTCTGCTATTTCCACTTAGAGACAGTCATCTTCTTTTGTTTCCTCCCAGTTTGCTCAAGCACTAAGGAAGTTCCTGGAGGAACAGGAAATTGTGGACCTCAAAGTATGGACCAGCCAGCTAAAGAGAACCATCCAGACTGCAGAGTCCCTGGGTGTGACCTATGAGCAATGGAAGATCCTGAATGAGATTGATGCTGTGAGTAGATAGCTGGTAGGGCTAGTCTGGCTGCTAGTGGTCCAGTGGTTAGAGTGCTGGGCCTGGAGTCAGGAAGACTCATCTTCCTGAGATCAAATCTGGCCTCAGACACTTACTAGCAGTGTGACCCTGGGCAAGTTGCTGCACCTTGTTTGCCTCAGTTTCCTCATCTGTAAAGTGATCTGGAGAAGGAAATGGTAGAGCACCCCAGTATCTTTGCCAAAGGGGTCACAAAGAGTTGGACATGACTGAAACAGCTGAACAACAACAATAAAAAGGGTTGGTCAATAGCAGGGGAGTACTTCTGTTCCTTCTCCTGCAAGGCAGGAGACCCACAGAGCTCACCATTTTGACAGCTACAACAAAGTCACAACCTTGGGGTAGTGGAGTCTGATAGCAGAACATGGGCTTTTTTTTTTTCTAAATCTAGCTGCTCATGTTCCTGGGCTGAAGCCTAGAGTGGAGCCTAGAAAAAGCCTTCTGAAGTTATTTTGTTCCATTTGGGTATCCTTCTTCTGGCTCTGTAAAAGGAAGTAGATGAAATCTTGCTTCCCTGGTTCCTACTTTTGGTCAGCTAATTATACCCCAAACCCTCTTTCTGTGTTCAGTGTTAGAGTCCTACCCCGTTGGTACCCGGTGTCATTTCTTTCTTTCCCCCTCCTTCCACCCTTTCCCTTTTAAAACATTTCTTACAAATATCTTCTAACCTCTTCAGTTTTCCCTCACTCCTAATCTTTCTCATACTGTACTGTCTTGACCCCCAAAGTTCTTCCTTTAAATTAGCATCTCATCCACACATTAAGGATGTCCTCCTGCAGTGGCTGTAGAAGTAGATGTAGAGAAGTGAAATCTGAGAGGTGGGATTTGAATTCAGTCCTCCCTGACTTCAGTCCCTCTCCCTGGCAGTTCCAAGTGTTGTCTTAGTGGTATGGTTGTGTTCAGTTGTGTCCGACTTTTTGTGATCCTATTTGGGGTTTTCTTGGTGGAGATACTGGAGAGATTTGCCATTTCCTTCTCCAGCTTATTTTACAGATGAGGAAATTGAGGCAAAAAAAGGTTAAATGAGTTGCCCAGGGTCACACAGCTAGTAAGTGTCAAGTGTCTGAGGCCAGATTTGAACTCAGGTCTTCCTGACTCCAGGCCTGGTGCTGTGTATACTAAGTCACCTAGCTGCCTTAATGGCATGATAGCTTTGCGTAATCATGAAAGGGGTGGGCTTATTTCCAGGTCTTCTGGGACCCTCAGCATGTTTTGGCTTTCTGCAGGGTGTGTGTGAAGAGATGACCTATGAGGAGATTGAGAAGCAATACCCAGAAGAGTTTGCCCTTCGGGATCAAGACAAGTATCTGTATCGCTACCCTGGAGGGGAGGTAAGACATATTATGTTAGCTCCCATCTTGGGAGGAGCTGATCCTGACTCTTCTGATCTAGGAGGGCACTCCAGGAGTCTCTGGATTCACATTCTTGCCTCTAGGCAGGCTGGTCAGACAAATTGCAGTGGGGATAGGGGTGGGGGGGAGTCATTTGTTGTGATCTTTGGGAAAGGAGACTTTTTGGTTCTTCTTGATGCCCTGTCTCGACTGTAGGACTGACACACGGTGATAAATAAAGACCAAAACTTCTGCAAGCTTATTCTCACCCCTCCCTCTACTGCTATCTAGGGATATGGTCATAATAAACTGTGTCAAATGGGTTTGGGGTCCTTTCTGCTTCCCCAAGGTAAGTGGTGGTCTCCCTGGCAACTTCAATGTCTTTTTCATCAGAATTCTTGGAAACAAATTGGCGTATACTTTCTGGGTACCCAACACCAAGAGAATCAAACTGTAATGGAAAATGATAGCTGATGGCTAGCATTTTTATAGCACTTAAAACTTGCCGTGCACTTTACAAATATGCGGTCCTTTATTCTTCCTAACAGTCCTGGGAGGTAGGTACTCCTTTGTATTACAGATATGAAATCATGTCTTCTCATTATAAATAACAAGAAGATAATAGTTTGTAATAATAGTTAACACAGAGAGCACTTTAAGGTTTTTAAAGTGCTTTATATGTTATCTCATTTTATCCTCATAATAACTCTTAGAGAAAAGTGCTACCCCCACTTACATATGGGCGGCTAAGTGGCGCAGTGGATAGAACACTGGGCTGGGAACCAGGAAGAATCGTCTTCCTGAGTTCAAATCTGGCTTCAGACACTTACTAGCTGTGTGATCCTGGGAAGGTCACTTAACCCTATTTGCCTCAGTTTCCTCATCTGACAAATGAGCTGGAGAAGGAAATGCCAAATCACTCCAGTATCTTTGCCAAGAAAACTCCAAGATGGAGTCATGAAGAGGTGGACCCTGAACAACTACAAAACATATGAGGAGACTGAAGCTGAGAGTGGTTAAGTGACTTGCCCAGTGTCACACAGCTGGTAAGTCTGTGAGTCCAGATTTGAACTCAGGTCTTCCTGACTCCACACCCAGCACTCTTTTTATTGCATCATCCAGCAACAAATACCCTGAGAGACTCTGGCTTCTTTAAAAACCCCACTGCCTCTTTACTGGGACAGAAAAGAAACCAGATTGAGTTCCAGTCCTTTCTCAATGACCTGTGGTTTTTCTCAGTCTAAACCTTGTTCTTGAAAGGTCTGAGCATTCCCAAGAGACACGAGGCTCAGGGTTGGGGGTGAGAAGAGAACTTAGCTGGCGACACAGAGTCTCTGTGCCTGCTGGAATGAAATCAGCTGGGGAAGGAAGAAGAAAAAGAGGGATCATTTGACTGAAACTCAGCTGCCAACTTGATTCTGGCTTCCTCCTCCAGTCATACCAGGACCTGGTGCAGCGGCTGGAGCCGGTCATCATGGAGTTAGAGCGCCAAGGCAACGTCCTCGTCATCTCCCACCAAGCTGTCATGCGCTGCCTTCTGGCCTACTTCTTGGACAACAGTGCAGGTGCCAGAGAAAGGCAGAGTGGGGGTGGGATGAGGGAGGGAAAGGGCTTGCCTGTTGATGGTGCCAGAATCCCTTGGCACCTTGTCCCTGGTCCTGAGAGTAGATATTTCAGGCTGCTAGAAAGTATCCAGCAGCTATTGAGCATGCACTTTGATATCCCCAGCCCTGCTCTTACAAAAGCGCCCATCTGGAGCAACATTCTAGTTTATCAGCCCTCTCTGGCCACCAAGTTAGTCAAGCAAGTAGTTTTGGGATCTTTTGGGATGTTTCCTCTCCCTATTTGTTATTCTGATTCCTTACTGTCCTCCTATATCTTAAGAAGGGATATCTTCTAGCCTTTGAGTTTGCCTGTTTAAGGCATAAAACAAGATGGAGATCCACATTTCTTTAGACAGAAAGGGTGGGGGAGTTGGAGGCTGCAGGCTGGTTGTTTGTGGGTTGGAAGTGGGGAGAGAAGGGGCTACCATTCGCTGTGCCTCCTTGTCTCCCTAACTTCCAGCCTGACAACCATCTCCTAGTCCACTGAAGGCATTCTTCATGTGGGTGTGTAAGGGGCCTTCATACAATTCTCCTTTCCCCCAAGCCTTGCTTAAATCCCATGGTCCAGCTCCTTTACCTCCGTTCTCCTTTACTTGGCCTAAGTCATCCCACATTGGCAACTAATCTGGTCCCCAACTTGATCACCTTGTAACTTGGGGTTCAGTGTCCACAGGACAGAATTTAGCTTCTTGGTGGGGATTGCAGAGTTCTGACACCACAGGCGGTGGGTCATCAGAAAAAAACAAAATAAGTTGAGGTCCTCCAAGCCTCCCCTCTTCTAACCTGACTCCTTCTCCAAACTGCCTATGGGCAGTATGATTCAATGAATCAATCAATAAACATTTATTAAGTGCCTACTATGTGCCACAAACTGGGGATACAAAAGGAGGCAAAAGCCAGTCCTACTCACTACGTATTTCTGGTTTCAGATGAGCTGCCCTACTTGAGGTGCCCACTCCACACCATCTTCAAACTCACACCTGTGGCCTATGGTAATTTTGAGCTTAGGGGCTAAGTTGGGAGGTGGGGAATTGAGGAGAATCAAGATATGGAATTGTTTTTTTGTTTGTTTGTTTGTTTGTTTTTTAAGATACCGAGTTTTCTTAGCAGTTTGCGGAGAGGTTAACAGATGTTACCAGAGAAAGATCCTTTACGGCCCTTTTAAAAAGTCAACTTCAGTGACACTTGGGCCCTTCTCTTACTGTATTAGCCAGGGTCAACTGGAAGAGTGCCAGCTGGTCTGGGACTTTTCTCTACACTAGATCTCAGGGGATCCTCTCCTATGAACTTTTCATCTAAGAATGTTCCCTTCTTCCTTCTCTTCTCCATCAGGATGCAAAGTGGAAATAATAAGTCTCAATGTGGAAGCTGTGAACACTCACCGAGACAGGCCTGCTGTAAGTATTTCCCAGATGGAATGATCCTCCCAGGCTCCTTTCTGCCACCCTCAGATCTCTGAGCCTCGGGCAGTAGGACAGCTGGGTGCTAGAGGGCACTGTGATGCTGGCTGCAAAGATTACTGGTGTAGGCTTGTCTTCTGGCTACTGTGTTCTTTTGCCATGGGAAGAGATGCTGAATTATTATTACTTCTCAGTAGTAGTATGGTGACATTTAAAAATAGGGTGCTGGAATTCCAGTTAAAAGTGGAAAACAGTTCGATAAAGTGAAGTTGGATCTCTTTTCTGGGAAGGTCCCCACTTGGCAGATAGGGTGTTCCAGAGGACAGTGGGGCAAAGAGTTGGGAGGCTTCAGAACTATCCCTGAGAGCCTGTGAGACCCAAGAGGAGTCTGTCCTCTCTTTTCACGGAGCCTGTTTCCCTCCTGGGAGATTCTGAGGCCAGATGAGTTATCATCTATGTCTACAATCCTTTTGGATGCCCAGTGGTGAGAGAAACTGGCTAGATCCTGTTTTGGTGTTAGGCCTCTGGAGGACAGAAATGCAGATATCAGGGAAGTGGTTTAACCTTTGTGAAGGCGCTCTTGGCCTGGCTTTCATTCCTGTGGTGTCCCTCCGTTTCTGATTAGAACAACCTCCCCAAGAACCAAAGCCCTGTAAGGATGAGGAGGAACAGCTTTACGCCTCTGTCCAGTTCGGATACAATAAAGCGCCCGAGAAATTACAGTGTTGGGAGCCGGCCCCTCAAGGCCCTCAGCCCTCTTCGTGCCCTGGATGCTCAAGAAGGGGCTGACCAGCCGAAGACCCACGTCAGCGTTCCCGTGGTGTAACCGTGTGTGTTCCGCCCCAAACCCACTCTCTTTTGCCCTTTTCACTAATCACCTAGGACTTTCTTTAACTTCCACATCTTCAATTAATGCTAACCCAGAGCATGAGACTGTGTTTCTAAACCAGCCAATTTCAGTCATTCCCGGATTTGGTGTGACACATTGCCCTGCCAAGGTATTGACCTTGGTTGCATTCTAATGGGGTCTTTTGGGACAGGTATTTGGGCATGAGTTTTGGAGGAAGAGAAAAGAGAGTCCCATGAGAGAACTGATTTGGTGTAGTCAAAATTGGAAGGGACTGATAAGCACTTTCCAAACACCTCTCTTTCTTTCCTCAACCTGTCATCATTAATGTGCTTTGTTTGTGGGGGACACACATGCTGGGCAACCTATTTTTCTTCACCTTTAAGTCCCTTTGTAACTTTATACTAATGCACTTCCCTCTCCTCCTCTCCCCTTCAGGACCCTCCATTAAACTGTCCCATTTTTGGACATAGTGATGCATGGAACCCGTGTGATACCTGTGGAAGGAACAGAGAGCAGACTGGGGAGGGAAATTTGGGCTCTGGTTGGTGGCTCCACAATGGGGCTTAACCTGAAGGGCTGCTCCCTTCTCTTGCTCTTTCCACTCATCCCATGCCCAGGGGTCTTCCTGGCCCACCCTTCACCTACGGATCCTTGTTGGGGTAGATGAGACATAGCATCCACAACCCTGGGGCCTCCACTTCCTTTCACTAGAAATGATCCCCAGACCTTTTTCACTGGGGGAGAAGCTAGATTTTGTGTATTTGAATTATCCCTTCCTCTGATTTGCTTTTCAATTCAAAAGAGCTGTTATAAGGGCTGCTGATGTGTGTTGAATGGGGGTGGGGAGATGGTCTGTATTCTGCTCAAGGCTCTTCTAGGGGAGCACATACTGAGAAAGGTCTCTCTTTCCCACTGGCTCCCAGGCTTATTGCCAACAGCAACAGCTGCCCTGCCAAAGCCAGTGACCTCTTTGGGCTGATTAGAAGGACAGAGCCAGAGTCTGGAACTATTGGGGATGCTGAGTGTTCCAACTCTTTCAGGCAGCGACATCTGACTCCTTCCCCCTGCCCTGAAGTAAATCCTGGGATACACAAACAATAGCATTCATCAAATGGAATAGATATTTTAATACATGTAATGCATTAGGAAAGTTCTCCCTTCCTCTTGTACCCCCTTCCTTTTTTTTTTTTCCCCAAAGTTACAAAGGCCTATTGAAATAGCCTGGTGGTTTTGCTGCCTTTCCTTGGGATAGGATGTCCCATCCACAAGTCAAAAACCACACCCATCAGGACCCAATGGGCTGCCTAGAAGCATTTGGGCTTCACATTTCCAAGTTTTGTTCTTAGCATCTTCTCGGTCTGGGGCCTCTCCTGTTAGCCCCGAGGAAGCTACTTCTCTACCTGTTGTGTCATATCTGCTTTCTCAGCTTAGTGCTTGCCCTGGTCATGTCCTAATTCAGGTCCTTCTGTGCTTCCTCTCTGAGTCTATTTACATAGGATCCCTGGGGCTTCCATTTCCTTTCCCTCTCATTTCCAGTCTCTTTCTTTTGGGGAGTAAGTGATCTTCGTGTATTTGGCAAATGTCTTGGTCTAGGTAGAAACACCACTGCTGTCTGTGGGGTAGGGTGAGGAGACAGCCTCTATACCTCCCAGAGCCCTTCTTGGAAGCTCACACAAAAACCTCAGCCAGATCACTTCTATCCTTCTTTTGTAAGAGGTATTTGTTTGGGACTAGATGGCTAGAGCAGATTATTGATAGTCAGTTCAGTTTTTCTGTGGTGAGAGTGGGCAGCTTCTTGTGTTGGTCACATGGAAAGACCAACTGGACAGTGAATGCTCAGGCTAAGCAGCCAGTTTAGGAGTCCTTGATTCTTTTTGGTTTAGATGTTGGTCAATCAACCAACCATCACATATTTACTAAGTTCCTGCTATTTGTTGGGCACCTTGCCAAGCTCTGGGGATACAAAGAAGGGGGAAAAACAGTTCCTGCCCTCAAGGACCTTAAGTTCTAATGTTGGTCTGAGTGGGTCAAAACTGTAGACTGAATATATAGACTTAGAGAGCCAGTTATTTTGACTGGTTAGTACTGGAAGTGTGCAGTGTGGAGGGAGGTTAGGAGACTTGGTTTCTAGTCCCAATTCTTACCTTTATGACCTAAACTCTAGGTCCTAGAATAAAACGTGGTACCTCTTAGGGCCTTCACTGACCCCATCAGTGAAATGAAGAGAAGATTCAAGTTCCATTATAAAGAATTGGATTCCTTGGATACATAGCTGGTGCTTCTAAGTGCCAGAGATTCTAGAGAAGGGTGGCAGATGATGACTGGCAGGCAGAGCTGAGGCCTCAAGCAGGGGTTCCCCAAATTTATGCTCTTCATTCCTATGGTCCAGGTATGAGTGGCAGCCAATTTCTAGACTCAAGCTTGTTTGTGCCCTTCTGAAACACATTCTGTTCCGGGGCCAGAGTTAAGATAAGCTGGCATTGCCTGTTTAGCCAGCTAACAGTGAGCACTGAGGGCAAAGCCATGGCTGCCAGGTGCTATGGAGAGCTTAAGGATGCCCTCTTTTTCCTATCCATCTCCTCAAGGGTATGTTAAACAACTCTAATTGGAAATGATTGTATACTTACAAAGTGTGCTAAAAGGTGTAAATGAGGATAGTACCAGTGCCAGGCATGTGTGCTGGGGGGATGTTAAAATGTAGGGCAGATAATTCTCCTGCATGTTCCTTCTCCATCACTCCCCACCCTACCATGCCCTGTACACGTGATAACCACCTTGGCTATGGTTTAGCAGTACCCCGGGGAGAGCTGGGTTTTGTCTCATGTGAGAGGGAGATAGGGAGCGTGGGGGTATATGTGTGATAGCTTAACTCAAATAGGTATGGTTTGGGATGGGCCAATTTGACAGCTTTGGTCTGGAGAAGTATTTAACAAAGCAATTAACTGTTGATTAATATAAGAGAATAAGACTTTTTGCCTTTTGGAGCCTTTTGATAGCAGAGGAATCGGAGAGACTTGGGCTGTTCCATGTCTTCTCTTTGTTGAGATTAACCTTCTAGAAAGAGAGTAACAACCCCACTGACTCAAGGGAGCCAAAATCTCAGCTCTCCTGGCCTTAGAGCCAGAGCTGAGCTGGCTTTTTATTCCATCCTTCCAGAGTGCCTTCCTAATGCAGCCTCTTCCGTGAGGGTTATCTGGGACTCTTTTTTTCTCCTTCCTACCTCTTCCTCCATTTTCTTCTGTATAGATTTCTGAATACTCTGACTCCAATGTTGAAGTCTTGAGAAGCATTAATGAGATGGGGGAACTTATAGGACCTTCTCTGAAAAAAATGATTGCTGATACTGCCTGAGAGGATTTAAAAAAATGATCTCTCTCTCTCTCTCTCTCTCTCTCTCTCTCTCTCTCTCTCTCTCTCTCTCTCTCTCTCTCTCTCTCTCTCTCTCTCTCTCTCTCTCTCTCTCTCTCTCTCTCTCTTCTCTCTTCTCTCTTCTCTCTTCTCTCCTTCCTTCCCTCCAACCCCCCCCATCACCCCACTTCTTCTCATCTACTATTAAATGAGAAAGACAAAGTGTTTTGTTGGGATTTCCTTTTTTTTCCCTCTTTGGGAATCAAAAGTTCTGTTCTTAACACTTCTCTGTTTTCTCTTTACCCAGTTGGAACCTAGTTCCCAAACATTAGCCTTAAATTCTTAGATCTCATTCTTATTGGAAACAGAAAGCACAGAGAACAACTTTTCAGGGGCATACAGGAGACTTAAACCATGTAATCTAACCTACATTCATTAAGCACCTACTATGTTGAAAGCACTGTGTTAGGCTCTTGTGTTAACAAAACAAAACAAAAATACCAATTCTCTGCCCTCAAGGAGCTTGTAGTCCATTGCAGGGGTTTATATTCCACTGCTGCAATGTTGTTCCCTAAGTCTTCTTATTAGAAGTGGGAGCTGGGGATTGAATGTCTCTGCCCCCCTTTCCAGATTAGAAATACTTTGCACTTTAACTGTGGTTCCAGGGCCCCCATTTGTTGCCCTTATTTAGACACTGACATTTTGAAGAGCCACGTGATCCAGATGTTTGGAGATAAATGTGCCTTGTGGCTTCTCTGAAGGTCTCCCAGTCCCAGGGAAGAGTGCCCAGACAAAAGAGAGGTATCTGGATTATGTTGCATTATGTAGGTTCCATGGGACATTGCCAGGACCGAAAGAAAGGTAGCAAGCCACATCCTCTATGCGTGTTACCAAGATGGCAGTAAACTCACCAGCTGTGCCAGTGCATCTTTTGATATGGTCAGATTTTTAAAAATTTGAAATTTTTTTACAGAACAAAAAAAAAGTGACTGAGCCATATTGCTTAAAATTGACCTGTAACCAGTGTCTACACTGTCTTCCTCTCCTCTCCCCCTCCCAACTCTGAGGTAATGATTAGACACCAGATGTTTGTACAAGAGGAATGTAACCTAAACTCACTGAGCAGAGGACTGTTCAGCAAAGCATCCTTGGTTTTTTTTTTTAAAGAAAAAATAATTATCACATATCACTGTGCCTAGCTGGCAGCCCGGTTGTATCTAGTGACTTGAACTAATTGTTATTGTGTCTGGGTTGTAATGCGGCTTCCATATTTCATGTGCCCTATCGAACGGAAGAGAGAACTCTGCATTTTCTACAGAAGGGGTGGAGGTGGAGACTTGTACCCAATTTAGAAGGTGATTTTTCTTAAGGTCTCAATGGCAGCTAAATTTTCATCCATTTTAAAAAGTGAGGATTACATATCAGTTGTATAGTTTGTGCATCCACCAACGGATTTTGTGGCTGGCTTTAGGGGATGACTGGTGTGGCTGATGTTTTGTTACCTCCAAAATCCAAGGGCTGGAAAGGGGGACCTTGAGAGGTCATCTAATCTAATTCCTTGTCTTTAGGCAGGACCACAGGTCAGCATTGATTTCTGACCCTAATTTGTACTCCAAAGCCTAAATCACATAAACAAATCATCCATTATGTGTAAACTAGCTATGGTGAGCCATTCGATTCTCCTGTACAGAATTTCTGTCATGTTGGTGAATATAAATACCTGCGTAGGAGGAGATTTTACATTTTCAAGTAGACTTCTTCAAATGGTAGAACCAACGAAATGGTTGGATAGGCCCCAGTGATCTACATGGTGTTTACTGACTTGTTAATGGTTTTGTAGCTCACTGTCAGTTCATTTTAGCACATCAAACCAGGTAAATGGGCCACCCATCCCAGTGCCTTCGGTTTTGTAACTGTATGATCACTTGTCCTGTTTTTAATTCTTCTCAATCTCTAAGTATTATTTAGTAGAATCCTGCTGTTTGGTATCTATTCTAGGAAAATTGAACACTAATTGTGTGTTCTGTGGGTAAAAAAAAAGGATATGCAGAGCTAGTGAGAATTTCATCACTATTGGGGGTGGGGGAAGGTGTGGCCAGCAAAATGGCAGCCCGGCTAGGAATGGTCTGCATTGGGAAGGTTCCACAGTCTGCCCATGAATTCAAGAATGCCTCAGCATAGCTGTCTTGCAAAGAAGGAACATTGCCTCAAACAGCATGATGTTTGTTCTGGTGATTGATTTCTTGATACGGCACTTAGATCCACACGAGGTGGTTAGAGCCATATTTGAAATGTGTGCATGTTTCTTTTGTTCTTTTGTTTGTCGAATGGGTAAATAAAACTGTTGCATACCTTGAAACTCTCTGAAGGCTCCTGTCTTCTTTGTGTTCTGACTTTGCTGTCCTCTGCCAAGGTTGAATTATTAGTTTGAGTAGGGTCTGAAGTATGTCAGACACAACTCTCTTACACCACCTCCCAGGGAAGATGAGAAGGTCACCGTGGCAGATCCCTAGAGAAGCCCCTGCCTGGCCCTGGAGGTTTCCATGTGTTCAGTGTGCCAAACCTGCCACTTCTACCCCAAAAAGAATCATCAGTAACAAGAACAGAGAGGAACACAAGATCTTGAGCAAAATTGCACCGTGAAGCTTAGTAGCTGGGTATAACCCTCATTATTTGTAAATGTGGAGTAATAGAGGGAGTCATTCTAACTAAACACATGGCCTCTTTCACAAGAGATAAGGGACAATGGCATCAGACTTCACTTTTGTCTCATTGACCTCTTCTGGGGCGGGCAGTGCCAGGGCGGTGATTGCTCTGGGCTGGCTGGTCAGATGTATTGAAAGCAAGCAATAAGAACCCTCCAGAGCCAGAGGAAGCATCTTGGGAGAAGAGCCCTCATTACTGATCCTGCTGAAAGGTCTTAGAATGGGCCAGTGAGCTATCTGAATGACTGCTCTGGTATGGTTTCCTCCTTGCTACTGAGAACTAGGGTTTTTTTGGTTTTGGTTTTGCTTTTTTCACTGAGATCCCAAAAACTCACTCCATAGTCCATTACAAATTAAGGAAGATGTCCCAATATAAGTATTGAAGAAGTTTAATAGGATATCAGAGAAGAGGAAAAACAGTAGGCTTATTAAATACTTTCCCTGCTCTTGTTAAAAGGTCACAACTTTGCTATTTTGAGTTGAATCTGGCTCTAGGAAACGAGAGAGAGAGAGAGAGAGAGAGAGAGAGAGAGAGAGAGAGAGAGAGAGAGAGAGAGAGAGAGAGAGAGAGAGAGAGGATGAATGTATGTATGAGGAGGTGACAGTGAGGTGGGGGTCTCCTTTTCCCTTCTTCTGTGGTAGTAATCACTTTTTTTTTCTCTCTTGCTCTCTGGCTCTCCTAGGCAAAAATGGGGCTGGCCATGTGAAGGGACTCTACCCCAGAGCCCCTCAAGATGCCCGGCTCTGGATAAGGAGGCCAGGGCCAGATATCTCCAGGAGACGCAGCCAGATCTACTGTTCACTGCCAAACTTGGGACTTCGGCGCTGCAGGGGCTAGAGCAGGAAGCTAAGTGGGGGAAGCTGGGCTTTGGGGACCATTCAGAAGAGTCCTGGAAAACAAATGGCAAACATAACTACATTTTCTCTCCAGTGGATACCATGAATATCAGCCAGGCTGGGAAACTCAGTGTATCCTAGGCTCCTTCATGGCCTGGACCAGCTTCTCTGAACGGAAGTTTCACTTTGTTTTTAATTCTCTCTTTGCTGGATTTAGCCTGCATGGATTATGCTGGCTTTTATTTAGACATTCTATGCCCTACCTGTGGCTGCCTGTACCTTTAGCTGACTGCTTTATCTCTGGGCACTAAGGCCATTGTCTGAATTTTGTTGTTACCTGGTGAGGGGACTAATCTCTACAAGGACTGGAGCTCAGCCTGGGCCACTCATCACCCGCAGTCCCTTTCAGGCAGTCACCTCTGAAGCCCAGACCCCACTTTCACCTTTGCAGGACACTTCTGCCCTCTTACGAACAAGAAAGGGAAGAGGTTTGGGGATGCACTCAGTGTCTTTGGTGAAATGGCTGCCACTGTTTCAAAGGAAGTCCTTTGCTTTGAAACTATTTTTCTTGATTTTAGGTTCTTGGCCCAGGCTCCTTAAGGGCAGAATTTTCTGAAAGGCCCTCCAAGATAAGTCCATGCTTGCTCCTGATTTCTCCCTTGTAGTTACTGTCTTTTCCAATACTGGATTTTTTTTTTCCGCCTAATGCTGTGTGCCTCTCCTAGCTGGAGGAGAGTACAGTTCCAGTTGGGAAGGAGATTGACATCCTATACGCTTCCTTTTGGCAATGGAACAAAGCTTTTTAGGAAATAACTTCATCTGAAATTTCTCTGCGCTTCAAACTATCAGACCCTCAGTAGCAGGGTCTGTCTCAGGGCCTCATGGTCTCCAAGGAGGCTGTGACTAATTAAGGAAGCTGTCAGCGAGGCGTGAAGACAGCAGCTTGGCCTGCCACCCCTCCCACAGTTGGCCTGTCCCCGGCTCTAGGGGTCCATCCAGCTCCTTTGTCAGACGGAGCTTGTAGGGGCAAGGGGAAAGCAGATGCACTCAGGGCTTGGGAGCTGGCTCCCTTTGGTTTCTCTTAAAGGCTATAGGGCTATTGCCCTACCACTCTGCACTGGACTGTGCCAGAATAAAGGGGTACGGCTTACCCCACGTGGCGGTCAGAACTTCTAAAGCAAACCTGGCTAGTCTGACAAGGATAATGCGCTTTTAAAATTTTTGTCTTTGTTTATAATTTTAAAAAAGTCACTGAGATGAGCATGTCATGGGGATGGAGGGGAGTGAAGAAAAGGGGGGCTTTCAAGGAAGAAAGACAAATAATTAAGAAGGGAACTTTCCCCATGTGATCCTACTATTACATGGGAGATACAGGGTTCTTAATTACCTAACATGTGAAGGTCTGAGCTGCAGGCAGTTCAACCTCCCAGTGATTACAGGCTACACATATACCCTTGCATCCAGGTAGCCCTTCAACCTTCCCTGTAACAAGTGATTTTTTTTTTAACCTGGCTACTGGAAGCCAATACTTGGAAAATTCTCTCATTCTCGCTGCCTCTTTGTATGCATTCTGGTGTTGTCTTCGTTTTGGTTTATGGCTTTGTTTCATCCTTGCAGGGCATTTGAGTTTGCCACCCAAATAATGAATTCCTCTTTACTGGATGTCTTCAAGCAAAGCACTGGTGGTGTGTTTTTTACCTTGCTTAGGTAGGATGGCCTCTGAGGGTCCTTCCAACTTTGATATTCTGTGGGGGTCAGTTTTTCCAGCAAAGATTTTTTTTTTTTTGGTAAAGTGAATTTGCCTTATGTGAATCCTTTTTTCCTCTACTGAGTTTCTTTTATAAAATCATTTCCAAGGAAAAAAAGTTTTAGCTTCCAGAAGTCATAAAATGCCTCAGAATGTAATAAATCCTTTAAATTGTGCACTCAGGGAAAAAAAATGACAAATTCTAGACAAGACAATAAGATACAAAACATTTAATAATACTGTTCAGAGGATTAATAATTTAAAACTGCCTATTTTATGAACAATGAATTAGTAGACAATACTTAATGTTTCTTATCTATGCAGCTCATTGAGGACCAGTGCCTAGCACAGCGCCTTGCACATACATAGGGAGCAACTTTAATCAAAAGTTGTTAGCTCGAATCATTAGCACTTCAGAAATGGTATTTATGTCTGTGTGACCTTGGAACAATTCACCCCTCTGGGCCTAAATTTCCTTATCTGTAAAATGTGGGGATTGGACTAATTGATTAGAGGGCCTTTCCAGCTTTAAATGGATGATCTAACAATCCTGAAGTTCTTCTCAGCTTCAAACTGATGATTTGTGACTCTTAGTTTTCTGAATTGATTGCTGAACATTAATCTGCTGCTATTGCACCTTGGTAGAAGGTGCAAAAAATACCAATGACATCATAGATTCAGAACAAAAAAATCAGTGGGTCAATTTGAGCTCCACTGTATACATTAAACAGTTCCTGGAACCCTTTAACTGGATGTGGTAATAGAAACAATGATAAGATTAGCTTTTACCTTCTTGTTGGAGGAAATTTCTGATTCAGTGAACAAACTTATGAAGCTGAGAATTGTTAGGTTAAGTGAGTAGGGGCATGTGTATAAATAAGCCCTGGTAAATATGTTTGCCATCAATATCAAGACCAGCACTGTCGTGATGCTGTGAGAGTTTATGAAAATTTCAGGCTGCTTGGTGGGGTATTTTTGCATTCAGTCCCCTGACTAAGAAGGATAAATGGGATCCTTCTTCCTTCCCATTTCACAGTGCTCCCTGAGAGCAGAGACTGTTTCCTTTCAGTCTTTGCATTTCCAGCACCTAGCATGTGATAAGCACTCAGATGTTGAATATGTGGAGTTTGAATAGCTGAGACCTTTAGAGGCTGTGACACACCCAAGGTCACAAAGTAAATCCTTGATAGAGCTAGAATGAAAGTTTCTACCACATTACAGAGTGAATGGTAAGGACTGTAACTGTAAACAGCCCTCCTAATCACAGCTAATAGCCTTATTAGGAGCTAGGCCAGAAGCTGGTGGTCCAAAGCATTCTTCAGTCTTAGGTGAAGGTTATTATTATCCCTTAGTTCTAACTCATGAATGAGATCAGCATTTTTTTCTCACCAGGTAATCCTCCCTAGGTGGCCCAAACCTCACTCATGGTGGTAATCTTCAACTTGTGCCCAGGCCAACCAATTCCCCACCATCACCCCAATATACACACTTGGTAGCCCCAAGGTGTTGCTTGTCATTCTGCTAGGAGTTTTTGTTGGGGTTTTTTTAAATGAACTGGAAGGGATTTTAGAGATCATCTAGTCCAGTACCCTCCTACTTAATATAAGAGGAGAAAATGGCCCAAAGAGGGGAAAATGACTGGGAATATACTGTAATTATTTGGAATATAAAGGGAAAAAAAGAAACATAAGCGGTTCACTTAATCAGTTCTGCTTTTTTTCAAGTGAAAGAGGCACTTGTTTTAATGTTAAAATGTTCAGTTTTGTAGTGGAGATAATATAGAAGATGAGAATGAGGGAAGGAAGGAGGAAAAGGAGCAGGTCCTTTAAAGGTGACTGCATTAGCACAAAGAATAGAGCTTCCTATTTCCATGGTGTAGATTTCTTTTTTGAAAAAAAGTTCAAGGCACTTTTTCCTCTTCACCCCATTTTCCTGATTTTTTTCCTCCCTTCCTTTACCCCATTTTACTGATTTTTCTTCCTTCCCTCACCCCATTTTCCTGATTTTTTTTCTTTCCTTCTCTCACCCCACTTTCTAGATGGAGCATGAGAAACTTCTCTTGCAGCCCTGGCAGCACTTTATATATTATTAAGAATGGCAATATGATTTTCTTTTCTTTTTGTCTATGTTTTGTTTTTGTTCAAGCCAGCAGTGAAAAAAACATAGGTCAGACTTTAACAGCACCTTGAGGTAACTGGCTGAGGTGTAGGAACTCTGTTCGGCCTCTAGGAGGAAGCAGTGTTTTCTCCATCAGGAGACCTGTGGTCTAGCTCTGGTGCTGGCCAGGTGTAAAAGAGCCTCCATCTAATCTACTTCCAGATTCCTCCAGGGGAGCCTTCTACAGTCAGCTTCACCTCCTACGGTGTCCCTCCTCTGTTACTGCCATTTTAGAATCCCGATACAATGGAAGGAAGGAAGCTGGACATTCCTGAGGCATTATTGACTATGATTTGTTAAATATTATTTTACATATGTGCTTCCCAGAATCACTTCTGGCACCGGTTAATTGCTTTTTTTTCTCATTGATTTCTGGGTGACTCTAGACTTTGAAGCCAGCCTGGAGTACATATAATATGGTGAATGTGATAGGGGGGAGGGGAGGGTGGGAGTTGATTTGTGGGGTGGTCTCAGATTTGGGAGTGGGAGGGAGAGGAAGGAAAAGCACTTTCAGCCATAAAGTCTGCCAGTGTCTTATTTTGGAGATGTGGGGATGAAGAAATGGCATATGCTTTGAGTTACTAGAAAAGGGAAATTTGTGTTATTCTTGAAGAATGGTTTGAATTTTCTTATTTGTATTTATACCTAAGAAAATATATAAGTAAACTGATCTCTTCTTTCTGAATGTACTGCACAGAAGCCATTGCAATGAGGCTTATTTGCAATAAAGCATTTTCTGAAATTCTTTACTGTCTTTATGTCTGTGACTTTATAGGAGGTGAGATTTTAACTCAACTCTGTTCTTTAATTCACTGGACAAGTATTGAGCATCTATCTACTTAGCCCATCCCACTGTGCTAGAAAAGAAGGAGAAATACACAGAACTGTAATTGAGGAGCTTTACAAATAGGTAGTTGGGACATACGCACACAAAAAGTTAAATACTATAACAATATAAGAGCTTTATAAGACGTTATAAATATTTAAGTGCCACAGGGATTGTTACACGCCCAGCCTGTGCACCAGTTTTGTTAAAGGTACTCTTTTTTAAGAGGTACTCTTCGTTCCCTAAAATATTGTGATCAGATATCTCCACCAAGTCTGTTAAAAGGCAATGCTGCCTTTGACTCAGGATCTTTTTAGCAATGAACCGAAGGATAATTTTGAATGACCAGATTATTTTGCTTAGAGGTATTAAATGGAGTCTTGTAAGCACATGAACTTTCAGGAGAATTTCTAGGTCAATACATTCTATCAAAATGGCCTCCACAAATTGAGAACATAATTTTTAAAAATAAGATCTTATTTTTCCCAATTCCATGTAAAAACAATTTTAATGTTTTTTTAACTAAAATTTTGAGTTCCAAATTCTATCTCTTCCCCTCCCTGAGACAGTAAGCAATCTGATATAGGTTATGCATGTGCAATCATGTAAAACATTTCCATATTAGTTATTTTGTGCAAGAAGACTTGAGAAAGAAAGAAAAAAAGAAAGAAAGAAAAAGAGAAAAGTACTATATTTCAGTCTGTATTCAGATATGAATCAGTTCCTTCTTTGGAGGTGGATAGCATTTTTCATCATGAGACCTTTGGGATTGTCTTGGATCACTGTATTGCTAAGAAGAGTTAAGTCATTCACAGGAGAACATAAGTTCTAACAGTTATTCTAAATGTCAGCATTTCTGTAAGTAGGATAAAATTGAATTATTTCTGCAGATCCTAATTGGGCCTACCTGGACATGAGGACTTAACCAACTCCTAATAGAAACCAGTCCTTAGTTTTGCCAGGAAGGGCCCAAAGGAAGTGATGAACAGGATATTTGTCTACCAGTGGGCTGCTGAGGATGGGGCAGGGGGTGTCCCTCATTAAGAAGATGAAGAGTAGTACTGATTCTTAATTTTCTGCCTTCTTGGAGAAGGTAAAGAGAAAGCAGGGCTCTTAGAAAATGTCTGTGGTATTGAGTCCATAATTAATATTTAATAATTATCAATAACAATACAATAAAACAACTAATACAAAATGAGTGACCAATAATCTTTCCTTTGGTCACCTAGATAATTCTATCACACTTGAGAGTAGAAAATGAATTAGTTGGATGTCTGATATTTATAATAAATATAACGGCTAAAGGGGAGACTGATTTATTTGAACCCTCAACATGCATATTATCTCGTGTCCATTTTTCATGATCATTACCTTCATTATTAAGAGTTTAAAAATTAATCAAGTTCTAAGAGGTACTGAAATATTAAAAAAATAAGTTTGTCAACCCTAGGTTAAAAGCTCTTTCTATAGAGAGAGCAGAGAAGAAGACCCAGGACAGAACTCTGGGGAACAACTGTGGTTATAGGGGTAAGATGAGAGGATGATCCAACAAAGAATACTGAGACAGAGTGGTCAAGCAGGCAGAAGGAGATGTCCAAAAAGACACTCTTTATATTGTCCTTCCCACCCCCACCCCAAACTGTAGCTCCTCCAAACTTTCCCCATTTTTATTGATAGAACCATGATCCTATCTTTTCAGTCATCTAGTTTCATAAATTTGGAATCATCATTGGCTCTTTGTCTCTTTAAATCCTCATATCCAGTTAATTTCCAAGGTTTGCTGTTTCTGCCTCCCCAACTTTAAGATCCTTCCCTTGTCCTCCTCTGAGTGAGCCATATTCTAGCTCAGATCCTCATCACCTCTCTCTTGGATTATTAGAATAGCCTTCAATTGGTCTTTCCTCAAATTTCTCTCCCTCCAATCCATTCTCCACACAGAGACCACATTTTAAAAATTTTGATTTTCTTAAATGCTGAATTGAAGAAACAATATGACAAAAGAATATATCCATATACAGAGCAGAACAGAAAAAGAACATTATGCATGAAAATAAGTATCTCTGTTTTATTCAGCTTATTTTTTTAAAAAAAAAAGTATACCAGATATCCCAAAAAGCCTTAGTGTGGTTTTAAGCTATTTAAGTTACTATAGCCCCAATCTGCACTTTATGATAAATTCATGGGGCATCTAGGTGGCGTAGTGCATAGAGCACCGGCCTTGGATTCAGGAGGACCTGAGTTCAGATCCAGCCTCAGACACATAACACTTACTGGGCAAGTCACTTAACCCCATTGCCTAAAACAACAAAAAGCAAAACAAAAAAATAAATAAATTCATGTTATTCTTAAGGCTGTCCTGCTTCTCTGTGTTTGCCTCCAAAGTCTTATGTTCTCTTCTGTATATTTTTTAAAAATGCTTCAATGATCCCCTTTTGTCTTTTCTTCCTTTTTAAATCAACCTTATTGCTAGCTCTTGTCTCTTCTCAAAGTTAAAAAAAGACATGATTATTGTAACAAGAAACATAGTCAAATAAAATAAACCTCTATATTTGCAATGTCAAAAAATATGTGTCTCATTCTACATTTTGTCCATCAGTCTTCTGTCAGAAGGTGCTTCCTCCTCAGTCCTTTGGAGTCTTGGTTGGAGTCAGATTTCTTAGGTCATTCAAAATTGATTTTCTTTACAATGTTATTGTTAGTGGTTCTGCTCAATTCACTCTGCATGAGTTCACACATGACTTCACAGGCTAATTTGAAACCATTTCTTTTGTCATTTCTTACAATGCATTAATATTCTATTCCACTAATAAACAGTAATTTATTTAGCCATTCCCCAACTGACAGACATCTCTTTAATTTTCAGTTCTTTGTTACAATAAAAGGAAATGTTATAAATATTTTCTCTTAAAAACATATTAACTAATGGTTTATTTTGTTTATTTTAAAAGTTTCTAGTTTTATTTATTAATTCAATAGGAATTTTATTTTCAACTTTGCTAATAACTTTTTTGAATTTTAGAATGTGTACTTTGATTCTTAGTTTATGTTTCTTGATTTATTGGTTTTCTGGCTTCTAAAAAAAAGTTGTACACCCAATTTCATGATTTGTTCTTTCTCTTTTTGTTGAAGCAATTGTTTAGAAGATATATTTTCTGTTCAGAGTTGCTTTGGATAAATCCTAAAAATTTTATCATATTGTCTCATCATTTCTTTGATGAAATTCTCTATTGTTTCTAAGATTTATTCTTTGAATCATTAATTCTTTATGATTAGGTGATTTAGGATACTACTAATTTTTAACCTTCTTCAGAGGTAATTCATAGAATATAATTGTCATTGCATTGAGGTTGGAACAAACGTGTAATATTTCTGATTTTCTTCACTTTGTGGGGTTTTTATTCCCTAATACACAGTCAATAATTGCCCACAGATTTCTGAACATCTCTCTGTACAGATCTGGACTGGCAAAATGCATTTTCTGTAATTTCTCCTTGGATTTCTTGCTCATTTCTCAGTCTGATGCTTTTTGTTTTTTACCCTCATAAAAGCAGCTGTGGGAGAGCTGAATGGCTCTTCCACTCACTCTGACATCCTGAGCAATGTGGTCACAGCTGCCAAATTGACATTGCCAAAGCTCAAAACTCACTGGGTCACACCTATACGCAAAATTCTTTGTAAAATAATTTCTTTTATATTATGAACTTAACAGACATCAATAAACACGAACATATCCATAGACAAAGAAAAATAGATGATTGTATGTGAAACTGAACTTTTATTATGTATTGTTTTTTAAAAGTGTATAATAAATTTAAAACAATAGTAACAGGACTGTCCATATCTCTGTCCCATTTCAAATTTCCTTCTCTTCTTATGAACATTTTAAAATTTTTCATTAATGCTGTTTTCTTTCCTTTTTTTTTTGGCATCACTATCAAGCTTATCCACTTCCCTCCCCTCTCCTGCCCCCTGCCCAGCTCTTCTCTTCTCATAAAAAAACCAAAATGATCCTTTGGAGCAAATAAGTACAGTTAAGCAAAATAAATCCATATATTTACTCTTTCCAAAAAACAGTCTAATTCTGCACCTGTAATATTTGTATCACCTTCTTAGAGGTAGCAGACATAATTCATCATCAGTGTTTTGGGGTAATAATTGGTCATTACATTGAATAGATTTCCACATTCTTTCCAAATTGTTTTCATTTGCATTATTATACTCATTATATAAATTGTTCTCTTGGTTCTGCTTACTTCACTCTGTATCAATTCATATAAGTCTTTCCAATTTTCTCTGAAACTACCCCTTTTATCATTTCTTATGATACAATAATATTCCATCATATTCATATACCATGCATTATTCCCCCAGTTGATTCATGCCCACTTTGATTCCAGTTCTTTGCTATAACAAAAAGCGCAGCAGTAAATATTTTTGTACATAAGGGTCCTTTCCTTATGTCACTGACCTCTCTGAGGTATAGGTCTAGTACTGGCATTACTCGATCAAAGAGTATACACAGTTTAGTGACTTTTGGGGTACACTTTCAAATTACATTCCGTGATGGTTGAACCAATTCACAGCTCTACCAACAATGCATTAGTGTTTCTGTTATCTCATACCTCTTCTCCAACAATTCTAATTTTCCTTTTTCCCTTCTTCTTTGCCCATCCTAATAACATGAGTTGTTTTAATTTGCATTTCTTTTATTATTAGTGATTTGGAGCATTTTGATATGATTATTGATAACTTGCATTTCTTTTTTTTTACATCTACCTCTTGATATCTTTTTAAAGTTCTAATAATATTTTGTCCCTCCCCTTCCATTTCATGTAAAAACAATTTTTAATATATGGGTTTTTTTAAGTTTTGAATTCCAAATTTAATCTTTTCCTCCCTCCCCTCCCCACTCCCTGAGACAGTAAAACCAATCTATTATAGGTTATACATGTACAATCATGTAAAATATTTTCATATTAGTAATTCTATGGGAAAAAACTCAAAAAAAGAAAGGGAGGAAAGAAGGGAGGGAAGCAGAAAATAATATGTTTCAGTCTGTATTCAGATGCCATCAGTTCCTTCTTTGGAGGCTGATAGCATTTTTCATCATGAGTCTTTTGGGATTATCTTGGATCACTGTACTGCTTAGAAAAGCTAGGTCATTCACAATTTCTTGATATCTTTTTAGTATTGGAGAATGTCTCTTTTCATATATATATATATACATATATATATACATATATATATACATATATATACATATATATACATATATATACATATATATAATATTTATATATATTCCCCATATATTTTAAACCTCAGACCTTTGTAAAAAAAATTTTCTGCAAAGATTCTTTTCCTGTAAGTTTTACTTCTAATACTAACTGCATTGATGTTGCTTGTATATTAGTTTTTCAATTTTACATAATGAAAATTGTCCATTTTATCTTTTACAATCATTTTTATACTTTGTTTAGTCAAAAACCTTCCCCCATCCATGGCTGTAAAAGGTGTCTCTTGTTCTCTTTTCTTCTAATTTGTTTATAATTTGACTTTTCGTATTTAGGCCGTGTATCTATTTTAAACTATTTGTGACATATGACATGGGATGTTAGTCTAAACCTAACTTCTGCCTAACTGCTTTCTAATTTTCCCAGGATTGTCAAAGAATGAGTCTTTATGTTATGTTCTTGTGGTCTTTCGGTTCATTGAACATTAGGCTCAGTTGCTTCTAGGTCTTGTTTACCTAATCTATTCCACTTTTTCTCTCTTTTAGCCCCATACCAAATAGTTTTGATGATTCCTGCTTTACAGAATACCTTGATATTTGGTAGTGATAGATCCCTTTCCTTGCCACTTTTTTATACTATTTCCCTGGAGATATTTGACCTTCTGTTCTGCCAGATGCCCTTAACCCCACTTCCATTTCTAGAAATATTTCCTATTTCTCCCCTTTATGCATTCTCTGTTCCAGTTAAACTGGCCTCCTGTTTACACACAACATTCCAACTACTACTTCCTTGTGTTTCACCAGCAATACCTCATCCCTGGAATGCACTCTTTCTTTACCTCTACCTTAAAATCCTTAGATTTTTCTCTGTGCAGGTGCCATCTTCTTAAAGAGGCCTTTCTGCATTATCCCAGTTATTGTCACTCTATCCCTCACAAAATTATTTGGAATTACTTTATATTTATTTACTTTTGTATGCATTATATCACCACTTCCCACAATGTAAAGTGTATGAGGGCAATGACTTATGCGGTCTTTGTCCATGTGTTCCCATCTTTTAGCACAGGGCCTTGTACATGATAGACAATGATTAAATAATGCTTATTTAAGTGAAGTTGTTGAATTTAAAGATTTTATTCCACTTTTCCTTCCTTGCAAAACCCATAACCCCAATTTGCTATAAACTAAGAGGTCTTTCCAAAACACTGAGACTTTCTGTTCCTGAGGCTATGGCAGAATTTCCTTTTCTATCCAGAACTTTCACATGTCTTCAGTTCTAGCCTAGAGCTGTTCTCTCCCCTCACCTCTCAATGAGGTTTTGTTGTCTGTAACTGGACTATAGAATAGTTCTGCTGAGGAATCTATCTGAGCTCAGTCTTGGACGATCAGGACAATAGTTCATTGTAGGATTTTGGAACTCTTATTATTTTTAAACTTCCCTGCTTCCTCTTTTGGGAATAAAACCAGTAAGAATCAACAGGATACAGAGATATGACCCTTTGCTGGGAGGTTGCAGATTCCCACCAAACTTGGGTCCGTCCCCTTGCTAAAGAATATCCTTCTCTCCAGTAGAGGGGGCAAGAAACCAGCCTTTCCATAAAGCAGTGGTGTTTATCATCTCAAGATATGCACTCTCTGATAACTGGTGAAAGACCAGGAGACAATACCCATAGGATACCACCCAGAAAATAGACGGAGGTAGCACACACTTAGCATCTCTATCTTTCCCTTTTTTACCCTCCATGTTAACTTCAGCTTCTTTAGTCCTGACCTTTCATCAGGCATGGGTAGAGCACAGCTATTGGCAAATATTGACAGAGGTCAATAGCACGGCCCAAGGACTAGGTCTGTGAAATGAGGCTAAGCCTGTGGTACAAAGGTGATGGTCAATCATTGGTTCAGTATTCCCAGAAACCAGGTATTTCCAGAAACTAGGATTTGTTTTTCCCCCAGGGGACTTGGCTGCTTCATATTTTCCTTCACATTTCTTCATATTTTTGCAAAGGCTACCTTTTGCTTCTTAGCAGGCCGCTTTCTTGGCATAAGTGATCTTTAGAGTTCTCTTCCAGTAGACCCAGAGGAAAACAGAGATCTGATCTGGTCCCACAGAGTACCAGAATATTTGTTTTTATTGAAAGCAGGTGCCTTGGCTGGGATCCCAATCCTGAACAGACCAGATGAAGTCTTGGCTTGTGCCCTGCATTCTGTTTGCATGGCTGTTCCCTGCCTCAGCAGGTAAGTTTATTTCTTCTCAAGCTCTGCTGATGAGACACCTTAGACCAGACTTAGGTATAGAAGGACCTGCCTTAGGCTTCTTGCCATGCAACATCAGAGCACCTAAAACCTCCGTACATTGTAGGAGTTTAGTAAATATTACACAGCTCTATCTGAAGAGGCAATTCCAGATCACTTATGCCTTCCCTGAAATGGAGTGGGGGAGGGAAGGAAGGGAACAGGATTGAAATGCTACATTCCAAGATCCTGGATGACCAGCTGATTTCAGCCAGGCTGGGAGGAGGACCTTGACACTGAATTCAGTGAAAATCTTGATGTTCTTTCAGTAGTCATGAAAGTAGAAGATTGCTCTGGATTTGAAAACCCATTATGGAAGGGAGGGCTGAGGGTAGAGGTGAAATAGATTGAATGGATACAGGTATGAACCAGAATCTAAAACCTCAGTCAAGAGGGAAGCTAGGCTGCAGAGGTATGTAAAAGTCCAAGAAGGGCATCTCTCTTTCCTGTGTCAGGAGAGAATGAATCTTGACTGATGTCTTTTCCCTTTCTCTCTCACAGATCATTGTCTCGATCCTCCTCCAGTCAACTATAGCATTCTTGTAGTAACAGCTATAGAAGAAAGGTTTCTGGTGACTTACAGCTGCATCAGGGGCTACCACCTAGTAGGGAAGAAAGAGCTTTTTTGCAATAAAACCTCCTTGGAATGGGACTCCCCAGCACCCACCTGTCTCTGTGAGTTTGCTTCTCTTGCTTCTGTGCTTGGACTTATATGGAAAAGCTAACAGAGAAAACTAGTCTAGCTAGAAGAGAACTTAAGAAATCATCTAGCACTGCTTTTAGACAAACTGTACCCAAACTACACAAGAAAAATGTTATATTTATATTTAATATACCAGGGCCTCTATTTTTAAAAATTTCTAGGGATGAAAATTCAGTTACTGGACACATAGCAGATAGTCAACAGCTATTCAGTGAATCAAATTAAGTATACCTTTTGATGACAAATTCTTTATTACATTGAACTGAATGTGTTTTTCTAATTTAAATGTCTAAATTTTCTAATCTAATTTATTTTTGGGGGGGCTCATTGTAGAGATAATAAACAGTTATCCTTTGCCTTTTTCCCTTTACCAACTAGCTATTTAAGTAAGCACATACTATGTGCTAAGAATTGTGCTGGACCTAAGGATACAAAGCCAAAAAAAATTGCCCCTGCTCTCAAGGAATACATTCTACTGGGTGGGGGAGGGGACAGATACAAAGTGTTCACAGGTAAAGTAATACAAAATATATACTAGTTGAATAGTAGCAATTTTGGTGGGGAAGGACTATTTAGTGGAGGGATCAAGAATGACCTCATGTTGGACAGAGTCCTTAAATTGAGCTTTGAAATGAACTAAGGAGTCTAAAAGTGGGAATGAGGAAGGCGTGCATTCCAGGTAGGGTGGAGGGTCTGTGCAAAGGTATGGAAATGAAAAATGGATGTTATGTATAAGAAACATCAAAGTTGTCCTGTTTGGCTGGAATGTAGCTGGTATGAAGGGGTCATATAATTAGCTTACAAAGATAGGCTAGAGGCAGATTATGAAGGGCTTTAAATGTCAAAAAGAGGACTTTTATGCTGAATTATACTTGTGCATGCTCTTAAATAGGAAACAGGCTATTTCATTACACATCTTCACAGATTTCTGGAAGAAGGCCCACCAGATCTCTATATGGGTTGATAGAGAGCAGGCAGAACATATTTCACACACACTAAGGACTGGCCCCTTATTGAGGAGTCTTCCTTCCCCGATGTATTTGATCCTATGGGCCATGGAAAGCCACTGGACCTTGTCGAGGCAGTATGTGACATAATCAGACCTCCATATTAAAAATATCTCCCAGGTCACTGTGTAGAGGATAGATTGGGGGGGGCAGTAGATTTGGGCAGGAGGACTAATTAGGAGGCTGTTGCTGTAGTCCAGGTGAGGGATGATGAAGCTCTGGTTGATGAAGGTTGGCACTCACATGAGTGGAAAGAAAGGGACAGATGTTAGAGATGTAATAGAGGCAGAATTAGCAAAAACTTGGCAGTTGATTGGTTATCAGGGGTGGGACAGGGTTGGAGAGATTGAAGATTTGTAGATGTCTCCAAGATTTCGAACCCAGATGACTGAAATGATGGTAGAACCCAAACTAGAGTAAACTTGTTTATATGATACCAACTCTGTAAGAACCTAAGATCATAGATTTAAAGCTGGAAGAGGTCTTAGAAGTCTCCTTAACCTTTCCTCCTTATGACCTAGCTTTGACCTTGTAGTCATCTGTTACTCTTCCTGGCTCCCTCTCCAGTTTTTCTATGTCTAGGTGAATACCCAAGGAGCTGTGATTTCATCAGGTTGGAGAACTCTTTTGACAAAGGCAGACTCTATGTAGATGGCATTCTTCAGTGACTTAGGAAATACATTTCAGGGAGTTGTCTAAAGCCCAATGAGGTTAAGTGACTTGTCTAGGCTCCCATAGCTATTAAAGTGTCAAAGGCACTTTTTGAACCCAGGTCATTCTGACTCCGAACTCTATCTATTTCAACATACTGATTCTATGCCTATGCAGATAACAAAAATAACAGAATGACAGAGCAGAAAAATCACTGAATATGGAGTCACAAGCCCTGAGTTTGAGTCTTAGCTGTGACATGTTACTAACTGGGTCAATAAGCATTTGTTAAACACTTAGTGTGCTGGGCATACAAAGAAAGAAGAAGAAAAAAAACCCTGGTCCTTTCACCTCCCTCAAAGAGCCTACATACTAATGGTAGGGACAACATGTGAATAATTAAACATATACATAGCAAATGAAAGGTAATCTCAAAGGGGAAGGCATTAGCAGCTGAGGGCCGTGGGAAAACCCTCCTTTAGACAGTGGACTTTGAGCAGTCTTGGAGGCAGTCAAGAAACAGAGGTGATGGGGTAGAGTATTCTAGACATGGCAGATAGCCAGTGAGGGCACACAAATGGGAGACATAGTGCTGTGTTCCAGGAACTGCATGGAGATCAGTGACACTGGAGCATAAAGTGAGTGGAGGGAGTAAAACATAAAAAAACTGGAAAAATCCAAATGGGCCAGGTTATGAAGGTTTTTAAATGCCAAAAAGAGGGCTTTAGATTTAATCCTGAAGGCAAGGGGGAGTTACCCAAACTCACTGAGAAGGGAGTTGATATGGTAAGACCTGTACTTTAGGAAAATCTTTTTGTCCAAAGAGTGGAGAATAGACTGGAGTGGGGAAAGACTTGAGGGAGGTCACTGCAGTAGTTCAGGTGCAAGGTGTTGAAGGTCAGAACAAGAGGTCTGGCTATAGACAAAAGGGGACATATGCAAGATATCTTGTGAAGGTAGAGGCAATAAGATTCGACAATAGGTGAGATGTGTGGAATGAATGTAAGCAAGGAGTCAAGGATGACACTGAGGTTGTGAGCCTGAGTGACAGGGAGTATGGTAGTGCCTTCATCAGTAATAGGGATGTACAGGGAGTAGAAGGTTTTGGGGCTAAGGCAACAAGCATTTATTAAGCATTTACTAAGTGTTTGGTACTATGCTAAGCACATACAATACAAGCAAAAATAAACCAGTCCCTGCCCTCAAGGAGCTTACATTCTAATACAGAAAAAATAAAACACAAAAGGGAGCAGAAAAGTAGGGAGACAGGAAGTTACCTGTGCAGGGGTACCATGTCCAGGTGTAGAGAGTCCATAGAAGAGCTGTGAAGAGAGTGAAGGATGGCTGGCTTGAGCCCTTCCCCCAAATGGAAACTCAGAGAGGAAGTCACCATTGGGAGAAGAGTACTGGCAGAGTGGAGGAAGGTGTTGTTTATCCTTTGTTCTCAAAGAGGACCATGATGTTAGGAAGGTGATGCCATGACTTGCAAGTGAATTGGATTTAAGTGAGAGAGGGTGGCGCAAAGTCACCAGCCTCACATTCTCCTCTGGAGCCATCTGGGTCCAGTGGCCAGATATAGATCAGGACAACAGGAGATGGCCCCCAGAGTTAGAAATGGAGGAAGAAAGTAGCTAATACATGGTAGCAAAGTGAAGAGAGTCAGGTAATAAGTTGTTTTGGACATGTTGAAATGGAGGTGTCTATGGGACATTTAATTCTAGAGGTCGAAGAGTAACAAGTCACTAAATCTTTCCAAAGCTCAGTTTTCACCTACTAGCTGTGTCACGTTGGACAGATCATTTAACCTCTGTTTGCCACTGTTTCCTCCTTGGTAAGATGGGAATCATGCTAGCACCTACTTCCTAGGGTTGTTGTGAGGATCAAATGAAATGGTAATTGTAAAGCATTTAGCATACTGTCTGGCACATAGTAGGTACTATATAAATGTCAACTATTAGCTATTGTTATTTCTTCAACTGTATAGTGGGCACATATTTACACTACTTCACAAGGTTGTTGTAAAGAGAATTTTTTTAGCTTTATAAACTGCTATATTAATGTTGTTGTTATCATCATTAAAAACACAACCAGTCAACAGGACTCCAAAAATATATCAGTGCAGACGTAGCAAGATGACAATTCTACTCAGTGTTGGGATATTGGAAAATAGTTTGTTTAATTTCTTTTAATTATAGCTATAGTTACTGATTTATATTCACTGAGTGATCCACTAAGACCAGCAGATACTTTTCTCCCTTACTTTTGCAGAGCTAGGCTTTCCTTCCTTCTGCTTCTCTGTTGCTTGCTTTTTGACCCTAGGTACATTCTTGCTCTTGTTTATACTGAACTTGAATAGTTATTCCCTATTGCTTTCCATTTTGTTCCCAAAGAAGCTAGGTGCCTTGACCTTAGTCTCTTCTCCCTCCCCTTGGTATAACAAATTTCAGAGCCTTTCACTGTTTCCTCCTTTAGTGGGTCACTGTCCTAACCCTGTGTTGGTTAATGGTCAACTGAATTCCTCAAAGCTGGAGCCTGTTTCTGAGGAGGAAGTGGTCACCTTTAAATGTGACCCTGACTACATCCTGAAGGGCAGTAATTGGAGCCAATGCCAGAATGATCACACCTGGACACCTCCCCTTCCCATCTGTATAATGGGTAAGTCCAAGGGAGTCAACACTGAGCCTTAACAACACAAGTATGGGATAGGGGCACCTATCTGGGCATTTGATAAGGAATGGATACCTGCCATGTGCCATGACACTCTCTTCTACTTTATACCTGGGAAGATGAACAATAGTTGTCTAAGGAGCTAAGCAGGCATTCAATGTCAGAGTAGTAAGAGAGAGTGTTACATGATAGAAAGTTTCCTAACAGGCTCTCTTGGCTGAGTTTCCATCCCTACTTCTCTTGGGTAACTTGCTACTACCCCAACCCAGAGGCCAAGAAAATGGAAATTTTCCCTTCAAAGACTTCACCCCTTGGGTTAGTAGCTTGTCTTTTCTCCAGGGGTACCCCTTTCCCACATGTGCAGTGTACTTATTACATACAATAGATACCCAGGCAATTTGTAGGAACAAACATTTTTTACTACAGTGTGAGAGCATCTTCAGGTACAAATAGTATTAATTCCAAGTCTTCTCAGTCCAACTAACTTTGCCAGGCCCAAAGAATCACTCCACCTCTTTTAGACTCTCAATTATCCATTCTCACGTTGGTCGGTCGACAACAGAAGCTAACTCTAACCTGAACACTGGAAGTCTTTTTCTTGTTAATTAACCCCACACCACGGTGGAGTTCTTTTGCTCAGCTCTGTAGATCCACAGAGAAGCAGGAGTCTTTTTGTCTGGGTCCCAACTCCTCCACCTCAGGTTCAGTTCAGTCAGAATAACTCTCCTTTAAATGACCTGAACCCTGACTGAGTTAGAGACCCCTGACTTTTTATAGTAATGCCTTATTTTTTCCTTTATTTGGGAGTGCACATAACATACTGCTCATATCTCTTAGCTGAGTTTCTAAGCTTTTTAAAACTTACTGTATGTTTTGTTTTTATATCATCTTCACTTCCAAATATATTCCCTTCACCTCAACTACTCAGCCACCCTCTGTTTAAAAAAAAGAATAGAAAATGGAGAGGGGAAATCAGTAAAACTAACCAACATATCCAACTAAGTCTGGCCATGTATGCGATATTATGCACCTATTTTCTCACATGTCCGTAAAGAGACAAAGAAGGGAGGCAGATGTATTTTTTTTTCATTTCTTCCTTGGGACTGAGCTTGGTTATTATAATTACATGGCATTTAGCATGTTGTTATTTTCATTTACACAGTTGTATCCATTGTGTATATTGTTTTCCTGGTTCCTCTTTCTTTACATCTTAGCATCTGTTCATAAGCTTTTTCTATATTAATCCTTTTCTACGGAACAGAAATATTCCAAAGTGAGAATGATAGAAGAGATAGGTTCTGCCCTCCTTTAAGCAGAAATGGATGACCACTTGCTGGGTATGTTATAGTTGGATTTTTTTCATGTATGGGTTGAACTGTATGGCCTTGAAGTATCTTCCAAAAATCAAATTCCGTGAATCTGCAATTCCACACATTTCTGAATCACAATCTGCTTAGCCAACCTAGCCTCCAATCGATGCTAAACCTCCAATTCTAACCAGAATATAGAGTCACAAGTTTTAAAACTCTGGAAATAGCCTCAGACATCATCTAGTTCACCTTCTCCCTGCACTCACCACTTTCACTTTTACAGATGAGGAAACTGAGGCTCAGGCTTTCTTAAGATCACATAGCTAATAAATGACAGCCCTAGAATTGTAGCCAAAGTCTCCTAATTTCCGGTCTATCATTCTTTCCCTTATTTTAGAGTATTTCTCACCCCAAGTTCTTACCAGAACATTTTCTTTCAAAGGATTGCATCTATCACAATCTCCGGTCTCAAGTGATTACTTCTGAAGTATATATGTTCCATAAATGTTTGATAATTGAATAAATTAATGAATGAATATCTATTAGTTGCCTCTGTAATGGGTTTCTGCTTCCCTTCTGCTGTTACTAGCCAGGTTGGATATAGCTCCAAATCCACACAACGAGTTTTTGGGAAGGAGTTCTAATGCGTAAAAAACTAAGATTTGGATTAAAAGGGAGACAATAAAGAACACTTTTTGCTCACAAATGAAGATTTAGGAAAGTGAAAGTGATGAAGTTGGGTAGCCCTGTGCCTAGAACTACCTTTGTAGCTTGCTATAATGTTCACTCTGACAACCTTTTTTTTCCCCCCCAAGGACAGTGCAAATCTCTCACAAGGCCAAAGCACGGCCATTTTAAAGCAAGAGACTTCAATTCAGGGTCAAACATTACCTTCCACTGTGATGTCGGGTAAGTCAGACATCAGGCTCCTATCCAAGCCAAGAAGTGGTATCACTGGATTAATGGATATGTATATATAGTGTAATACCTTGGAGGGCATAGTTCCAAATTGTTTTCTAGAATGGTCAGGCCAATTCATAGCTTAATCAAGGATGGATCAATGTACCTATTTCCTTTATCCCCTCCAATATTTGTCATTTTCCCTTTTTGACAACCTTGCCTGTCAACATGACAGACATGGTATAGAACCTCAGAGTTAATTTCATTTCCATTTCTCTGATTATTAGTGATTTGGAGCACTTTATAATATGACTATTGATAGCTTTGATTTCTTCCTTTGAGAATTGATGATTCATATCTTTGTACATTTCTCATTTGGGAAATGGCTCTTACTCTTATGAATTTGAATCAGTTCCTTGTAACTCTTGAAAACAAGACCCCTATCAATGAAACTCACGGAAAAGATTTTTTGCCAAAGGTAAAAACCTGCTTCCTTTCTAATTTTAATTGCATTATTTTTGTTTGTGCAAAAGCATTAAAATTTTTTAAAATCATAACTGTATATTTTATCTTCCATAATTCTCTGTATACCTTGCTGTGTTATGGATTTTTCCCCTATCCATGGATCTGAAAGGTAATGTCTTTCATGCTCCTCTAAGTTGTTTATGACATTACCGTTTATGTCTAAGTCTAGTATCCATTTTGACCTTAGGATATTGTATATGAGATATAGTTCTATGTCTAGTTTTTGCCTGATTGCTTTCTGGTTTTTCCTTAAGTTTTTGTCTAATAGGAAGTTCTTATCCTAGTAGTTCAGGTCTTCGAATTTATCAAACATGGGCTACTAGGTTCATTTGCTACTTTGTTCCACTTATCACCTTTTCTTTTTCTTAACCATTTCCAAATCATAAAACTTTTTAAACAGTGTTTTATTAAGAGGTAAGGGTGGGGCAGCTAGGTGGTACAGTAGGTAAAGCACCAGCCCCAAAGTCAGGAGGACCTGAGCTCAAATTCAGCCTCAGACCAAACACTTGACACTTACTAGCCGTGTGACCTTGGGCAAGTCACTTAACTCCAATTGCCTTCCAAAAAAAGGTAAGAGAAGATAAAGAAAAGAAGTTATATAATCAAAGAACACAGACAAGTTTAGAGAAAGGTTTATAATCTTCATTGTGTTCATATTTCAGATTGGCTGGTGTAGCTTACCAATGACCTGGACCTCCCTCTTGTCTCAGTGATGTCTTCTGAGTGCCCATGGGCTTGGAGTTGAAAGACCTGGTTTCAGATCTTTCCTCCATCATTTACTAGCCATGTGATAATTGGATAAGTCACCTAATCAATCAGTCATCAAGTATTTATTAATCACCTATTTTACATCAGAAAAATATGCTGGGTTATTTTGAAGGTTGGAAGGGATTTCAGAGGTCAATTAATTCTGTTATCCATACACAAAAAGAATCCCCACTATGGTCATCCAGACTCTGCCTGAAGACCTCCAAGGGGAAAAAGGAAGACCTCTCAAAAGGAAGCCAGGTGGTGCAGTGGATGGGGTGCTGGACTTGGAGGCAGGAAGATCTGAGTTCAAATGTGGCCTCAGACACTTACTAGCTGGGTGACCCCGGGCAAGTCACTTAACCCTGCCTGCCTCAGTTTCCTCATCTGTAAAATGAGCTGGAGAAGGAAATGACAAACCAGCCCAGTATTTTTGTGAAGAAAACCCCAAATGGGGTCATGAAGAGTTGGACACAACTGAAATGACTGAACAACAACAAATTAGGCATTAAGGATAAAGAATATGAAAAAAATACAAAGAATAAAATAAGACCTTCTTTTACACTCTAACGTAAGAGGGCTTACATTATGGCAGAGGAGATGAGTACAAACAAAACTTACACAGCATAAATACAAAGATAATAAAAAAATAAACATCAACAAAGTTGTTAAATATAAGGTCATTTGGGAAGGCACTAGTAGTTGTGGGGATCAGGAAAGGCTTCTTACAGGAGGTGATGTCTGAGCTCCATGTTGAAGGAAGAGAGGAGGGAGTACATTCCAGGCATGGTGGACAGCCAGTGCAAAGGATGGAGATGGAGTGTTGTGTGCCAGGAACACAGAGAAGGCTGTTTTGACTGGATCAGAGTGTAGGAGAAGGAGTAATGTCCAATGAGACTGGAAAGTTTGAGGCCAGATTGTGAAGGGCATTACAAGGTAAACAGAAGAATGTATATTTTATCCTAGAGACAATAGGAAGCAAATGTAGTTGATTAAGTAGGGGATTACATGGTTAGATCTGTGTTTAAGGAAATTGTATTTTAAAAAAAGTTTAGTATTGAGATTTGGTTATTCAGTATAAAAGATGTATGAGCACTATAACAAATACAACTCTTACAAATCCATTTTGAAAAAATACATGCTAGCTGTTTACGTTGGTTTTGTACTTTTAATTGCTTCATCCATCAGTTTCTTTATGTCTCTGTATATCATAACTGCCGAACTCATACAGTCCTGAAGTTTAGGAACAGTGTAGGGGATGAGCTAGAGCTGGGAGTCACTGGAGGCAGGGACTCCAATTAAGAGGCTATTGGTAGGGAGCTAGGTGGTGCAGTGGTTAGAGCACCAGTCCTGGAGTCAGAAGGATCTGAATTCAAATCTGATCCCCGACACTTACCAGCTGTGTGACCTTGGGCAAGTCACTTAATGTTGATTGCCTCCAAATAAATCTTTTTTTTTAAGAGGTTATTGCAATAACCTAAGCAAAGGGCGATGTGGGTATGAACTAAAGTAGATGGAGGGAAGCTGTTAGATGCAAGAGAAGCTGTTGGAGTAGAGAAACAGCAAGATTTGTCAATTGATTGGCTATCTGGGGGTGAGAGTGAGGAGTCAAGTATGTTGCCCAAGTATTGAAGCCGGGAAACTAGAAGAATAGGAATACAGTTTCAGTTTCATTATCTGTCAAATGGGAATAATAACACCTCTAGTCCAAGGAATCTGAACCTTTGGTAGCATGGTGTAACCCGTGGAGCCTTTTTCAGAATAATGTTTTTAAATGCATTAAATAAAATATAGAATTCCAAAGGAAACCAACTGTATTGAAATACAGTTATCAAACAAGTTCATGAAAAAACCCCCAAATAAACCAAAAAGCAAGTTCATGAGCCTCAGGTGAAGATCTAGTACTTTCTTCATAGTGTTGTTGTACGGCTCAAATTTGATGTATGTGTGTGAAGCACTTTCTAAGCCTTCAGGTATTATATAAAGGTCAGCTATTTGAAGAGTGGACTCCATCTTGCCCTTGAATCGGATTGCATTAGATCAGTTCCACTCAGGAGCCAGAAGCAGATATCTTCTCTCTTCCTACTTATTTTTTCTTTTCTTTTTTCTTTCTTTCTTTCTTTCTTTTTTCTTTAAGGCAATTGGAGCTAAGTGACTTGCCCAGGGTCACGCAGCTAGTAAGTGTTATGTGTCTGAGGTCGAATTTGAACTCAGGTCCTCCTGACTCCAAGGCCAGTATTCTATCCATTGCACCACCTAGCTTCCCCCTTTCTTCCTATTTCAAAGAGCCCTTATGGGGCTCCATTAAGTTCCCATTTCTCGACTAAGGAAACTTCTAGATCCTACTTTATTTCCAGAGAAGAGATGACAATTGTGTCTTGAGTGACTTCACTGACTGGTCAAGCCTATCCTAGCTGAACAATTTTCTGAGACTTGTAATTCCAGTGCCTCAGGCCAAGGAAATCTTCTAAATGCCTTAAATATGCATTAAATATAATGTAAAGGAGAGACAGCCAGGTGGCGCTGGGCCTGGAGTTGGGAAGACATGGGTTCAAGTTATGCCAAATATATGATTGGGTTTAAATTTTCATTTGAAAATCCCCCCAAAAGAACCCCTAGCTCTATGGAAGGAGAAAGGGGTTCCACATACACATGAATAGTAGCCAAGCATTGGAAACTGAGGCGATGCCAATGAACTGGGTAATGGATGAACAAGTTATGACGTGAATGTGATGGAATACTGCTGTGCTGTAAGGAATGATGAAGGGGATGGTTTCAGAAAGCCCTGGAAAGACCTATATGAAGCAATGTGAAATGAGCGTAAGCAGGAGAACAAGCTAAACAGAAACAGCAACACTGTAAAACTGAGAAAGTCCTTAACCTCGGTGTTCTTAACTGTAAAATGGGGATAATAACACCTCCTTCCCAGGGTTGTTGCAAAGATCAAATGAGATAGTATTTGTAAAGTGCTTTTTTCAGTACTTAGCACACAGTTGGTGCTATATCAATGCTTATTCCCTCCACAAAGTCATCTACAATTGTGTAGCATCCAATCATGGATTTTAGGGTATGGGGGACCTCCTGCAGACCTTACTCTGTACCCCAGAGGACACAGAGGCCCCCACTGTCACTAAGTGTGGCTGTCATTTCATTTTTGTTCCAGGTACCGGTTAATAGGGTACCATAGCCTGCAGTGCATGGATGGGAAATGGAGTGATGAGCCCCCCATTTGTGAAGAGATCATAGAAGCCACCACAGAGGCCCCAGTGGAAGCAGAGAAGTCAGTAAGTAACAGCTCAACCTCATTGTCTTTGGGCATAGTGATGCTTGTGGATACACCAGCTCAAACTTAGAGCAATCCTTGTAACTCAGGGTTTCTAGGTCTCCCTTTTCATGGGTATCCCCACCACCAAGGCAGAACAAGATGTATGCTGGTGCTTTTATGGTGATTAGGGCTTGGGATGTTGTGGTTTTCCCATCCCTAAGTGCAAAGCCATGATACCAACTTTGGAATGAAAACCTAACTTCCCATTGGTACTATGAAGTACCCTTTTATCTAAAAGAGCCTAGTGCTTCTTGTGTGTGCGTTGTTTCTGTACTTCCTGGCACTTCTGAGGACATTTCCAGCATCCTAATATATGTAGGTAGTGCTGTCACTAACATGAACTTGTAAATCCCCTTCAAGCTTACAATCTAAGTGACACCATGGAAAGTGACACCATGATCATAAGATCATAGAGTTAGAGCTGGAAGGGATATTAGAGTTCATCTCTTCCAACCCCGTCAATTTATACATGAGTAAACTAAGACCTAGAGACATTCAGGGCCTTCCTAAGGTCACACAGGCTAGGATTCAAACCTGAGCTTCAGACCCCAAATTTTCCACTCTTTCTACCATACTACACTTCCACAAAGACATCCAGACACTGCAGGAACTCTGAATGAAAGGCGTTTTATTTTCGTGGAGACTTCTTTATTTTTTTTTAATGATCAGAGCAATTTCCCTCATAGATTTTCTTTTTATTTGTCTGAGAAAGTCACTCCTTCCTGCCTGAGCAAGCTCCTTCTCTTTGGGTTGCATTTTCCAGACCTGAAATAAAAGGATTGGATTTGGTGCTCTCCAAGGTTCCTTACAGCTCTCTTATTACATGACAATAACGAGAATCCCTTTGAGAGCTCCTGAACTTCTGAGTCCTCATTCAAGGGGGTTCCCATTCACTAGTGATTGTGTTGTTGTTGTTGCCCAGTTGTTTTTATCAGTCATGTCTGACCCTTCATAACCCAATTTAGGGTTTTCTTGGCCAAGATACTGGAGTGATTTACCATTTCCTTCTCTAGCTCATTTTACAGGTGAGGAAACTGAGGTAAATAGGATGAAGTGACCTGCCCAGGGTCACACAGCTAGTAAGTGCCTGAGGCTAGATCAGAAATCCTGAAAATGAGTCTTCCTGACTCCAGGTCTGGCATTCTATCCACTGCCCCACCTACCTATCGTAGTGATTAACTGTTCCATTTGAGTGATGAGCCCCAGTACCTTCTCAGCATTGTAATATTGCCTTCTTTCCTAAGTGTGCATTGCAGGCAAGGAACATTTGTGAAACTGTACAAAAGTTGATGTGGTGTCAAAAAGAAAGAGGAAAGACATTAGAGGAGCTGAAATACTCCTTGGAAGTCAAGAAACTCCAGCTGGAAAAAATAAAAGCTGTCATGAGCACAGAATTAAAGGCAGGAAGCTTTTGAATAAACTTTCTTTTTGATTCTGAAATTCATTTACAATTTATCTGACCTTTGTGTGTATGTATGGGGTGTGTGTGTGTGTGTGTGTGTGTGTGTGTGTGTGTGTGTGTGTGTAAGCATTATTATTATTTTTTTAAGAGCATAGAGACTTTCATTCCCTAACTGATAAATGGTCAAAGGACATGAATGGGCAGTTTTTAGACAAAGAAATCAAAGCTATCTATAGTCATAGGAAAAAATGCTCTAAGTCACTATTGATTTGAGAAATGCAAATGAAAACAAGCATACAGTTCACACCTATTGAATTGGCTAATATGACAGAAAAGGAAAATGACAAATGTGGGAGGTGATGAGGGAAAATTAGGACACTAATGCACTATTGGTGGAACTGTGAACTGATCCAACCATTCTGGAGAACAATTTGGATCTAAGCCCAAAGGGCTATAAAACTGTGCATATCCTTTGATCCAGCAATACTGCTACAAGTCTGTTTCCCCAAAAAACATTTGTGGGGGGGCTAGGCAATGGGGTTAAGTGACTTGCCTAGGGTCACAGAGCTAGTAATTGTTATGTGTCTGAGGCTGGATTTGAACTCAGGTACTCCTGACTGCAAGGCCAGTACTCTATCCACTGTGCCACCTAGCTGCCCCCCCCAAATTTTTTAAAAAGGAAAATAATCTATATGTATGAAAATAGTTGTAGTAGCTCTTTTTGTGGTGGCAGAGAATTGGAAATTGAGGGGATGATTATCAATTGGGGAATGGCTGAACAAGTTGTGGCATATAATTGTGCTATAAGAAATGACAAGTAGGATGCTTTCAGAAAAACCTAGAAAGATTTACATGAACTGATGTAAAGTGAAGTGAGCAGAACCAGAAGAACATTGTACATAGTAACAGTAATATTGTAATGATAATCAACTGTGAATGACTTAGTTATTCTCAGCAATATAATGATCCAAGACAGTTCTGAAGGACTCATGTTGAAAAATGCTATCCTCCTCCAAAGAAAGAATGGATGGAGTCTAAGTGAAGACTGAAGCACACTTTTTTTTTGACTTTCTTAATTTTTCTTGGTGAGTTTTCTTTTTTGTGGGGAGGGAGGAATCTGTGTTTTCTTTCACATGATTAATATGGAAATACGTTTAGCAGGATTGCAAATGCAGAACCTATATCGAATTGCTTGCCTTCTCAATGTGTGGGTGGGGGTGGAGGGAAGGTTAGGTGGGAGAGAATTTGGAACTCAGAACTTTAAAAAAGAATGCTAAAGATTATTTTTACATGTAATTGGAAAAAAAATACTTTTGATTCCTTTTTTCCAGTTCCAAAATCTCTTCCCTTCCCCCTTCCCATCTGAGAAAGCAAGAAAAACAAAACTCATTACAGATATGAAGTCATGCAAAACATATTTCCACATTAGCCACGTTCAAAAAAATAACAAGAAAGAAAGGGAAAGAGAAAAAATATTCTTCTGCATTCTGAGTCCATCAGTTTTCTATTTAGAGATAGATAGCATGTTGCATCACGAGCTCTTTGGAATTGTGGTTGGTTGTTTTGTTGATTAGTGTCTTTCAAAGTTGATTATCTTTACAATATTGCTGTTACTGTTTAGATCATTCTCCTGGTGTAACTTTGCTTCAGGCCTTTCCAGGTCTTTCTGAAGTCATCCCCTTCATCGTTCCTTATTGCACGATAGTATTCCATCACATTCATGCACCATAACTTGCTCAGCCATTACCCAGGTGGTTGGCAACTCCTTAGTTTTCAATTCTTGGCCACCAGAAAAAGGGCTTCTATAACTATTCTTGTGCATATGGAACCCATTTCTTCTTCCATAGAGCTGGGGGTACCTTTTGTGGGGTTTTCAAATGAAAAGTTAAACTCAAGTGATATACATATTTTCTTTTGTTTTTTTTCCCCCAACAGACTATACAAGTAGAGGATAGGAGGGTACATCACATGTCAGTCCACATGAAAAACCTATGGACTTCAGTGGATTATAATTTTAATATGAGCAAATAGCATGAAATGGAGCCAAGACAGTTAATGCTACCTTGGTATCTTGGCCAGTGTTGTTGGAGGTGCCATTTCCCAAAATAAGGAGGTGATAATCTTGGTAACCTTCCCTGATCACTCTACATATGAAGTATTTTGTTCAGTTCTGGAGATTTCATTTTAATAAGGACGTTGACAAGATGGAGCCCCTCCAGAGAAGGTATGATGAGAGAGCTGGAGACCATATTTATAAAAACTGGTTGAAAGTCCTGTGGGTATTTGTCCTGGAGAAAAGATTTAGGGGAAACATGACAACTACCTTCACGAATGTGAAGGGCTGTCGTGGAAAAGGGATTAGCCTTGTTCCACTTTGCTACACATAACAAAACCAGGAACAATGGGTAGAAGTTGTAGAGAGGCAGATTTCAGTTCAATGAAAGGATAATAAAACTGATAATGATAATAATAATAATTAGCAATTATTCATGACTTTAAGATTTGCAAAGCCATTTACTGTTCCTAAAGTACAGATCCAATCACATCACCTCCCCTACTCAATAAACTCCAGTGGCTCCCTATTGTCTCCAGGATCAAACACAAAAAGTTTTGCTCAATGTTCACAGCCCTTCCTACCTTTGCAGTCTTCTTATACCTTACTCCCTAACATGTACTGTTTGATCCAATGACACTGGTCTCTTAGTCATTCCATGAAGAAGAGACTCCATCTCTCTCCAGGCACTGTCTCTGGCTGTCCCCAACGTCTGGAATGTTCTCCCTCCTCCCCTCTGCCTACTTACCTCAACCCCTTCTTAATTCTCATGCCCTCCCTCTATTAATAACTTCCTATTTATCCTGTATATAGCTTGTTTTGTATATATTTGTTTGCATGTTGTCTCTCCCATTAGGTTGTAAGCTCCTCAAGGGCAGGGATTGGCTTTTGCTTCTTTTTGTATACCCAGTACATGGCACAGTGCCTAGTATGAAGTAGGCACTTAATAAATATTGTTTGATTGACTGATTATCTCATTTGACCCTCAGAGCAACCTTGGGAGATAGGTGTTATCATTACCATTAGATTGTAAGCTTCTTTAAGCCCAGGGACTATCTTTTGCCTCATTCTGGATCCTCAGCACATAGCACAGTGTCTGGCATGTAATAGCACTTAATAAATGTTTATTGACTGATCGACTTTACAACTGTGGTTGGGAGAGGATAAGTGAGTGACTCAGGATCATACAACTAATAAGTATCCAAGGCAGGATTTTAACTCAGATCATGATTCTGAGTCCAGTGCTCCACCCACTATACCATCTGCTGAACAAAGAGGTAATTGCCCAACTCATGAGTTAGGTATACTCCCTGTCACTAGAGGTCTTCCAGTGGGTGGTGAGTGGTCTCTTATTTGGGATGCTGTTTGGGTTACTCCTGTTCAGGAACTAGTCCTTAGAGATCCCTTCTAAATCATAGGTCTAGAACTGCAAGAGGCCATCTTGTCTAATCCCTTCATTTTCCAGATGAAGAAACTGAGGTCCAGGAAGATTGTATTATTCACTCAAGGTCACACAAGTAGTAAATATTAGAGGTGAGATTTGAATTCAGGTCCTCTAATACAGAATTAGTGATCTCTCCCCTATATAAGGCTTCTATGGCAGGGGCAAGGAATATGTTGAAAAAGGAACAAAGTTGGGACCAGCATTTTGATTATCTACTATTTAGTCAATTACACTATCAACTGTATCCACCCTGCATCCTCTACCACAGGAGAGGTTTATAGATTAAGTCCCAGCTGGACCAGGTGAGAGAAGGAGAATCCTAGAGACTTCATGGCAGACCTTAGGGAAATAATGGGACACAAGGTTGGGTGGAAATAATTTGGAGAAAGTCTTGACTGCCAAACATTAATTAAGAAGTTTGAACTTTATTCAGTAGGTAATAACCACTGAAAATTCTTGAGCAGAGGAACATTATTATTAGGCCTATGCTGTAGGAGGATTAATCTTGTATCAGAGACAGCATTTATTATGTGCTGGGGTAGTAGATAGAGAACTTACTTCAGACCTGGGAAGACAGGTTCAAGTGTTCCACATACTGACCCTGGGCAGGTCACTTCAACTCTTAATGTGTTAGGCATCTCTGATTTGCAGAGAAGGTATAAACTTGCTTTGGCAGAGGGAATTTCCTCACCTAGGGAGTTCTCCATACCCACAAATCACAAGCCCAGTTCCGGTCCTTATCTCTAATCTGGAGTCACAGTAGGAGCAGGGCAGTTGGTCAGGAGGCCACTATAACAGTCTAAAATGATAGACCATGAGGGTCTAGAGTGGAGCAATGACAACAAAGTTAGTGACATTAGTCTGGCATGATCTGCTGTTTTTCTTTTTTTTCCCTAAAGCTTTTGTTTTTCACATCATAGTCATTTCCTGATGTACTTCTCAGCTTCCCACCTAGTGAACCCTTCTTTATAACAAAGAAAAACACTGAAATAAAACCAAAAAATCTAAACCAACAAAACAACCATCATATCTTACAGTGTATTACCTTTCTATTTAGAGGAGGGAAGTGTGCCTTGTCATTTATTTCCAGGAACAATTAATGGTTCAGTGGATAGATCACCAGGTTTGGAGGCAATAAGACCTGAGTTCACCGACCTCAGATACTTCTTAGCCGTATAACCCTGGGCAAGTCACCTAACCCTGTTTACTTCAGTTTCCTCATCTACAAAATGAGTTGGAGAAGGAAATGGGAAACCACTCCAGTATCTTTGCCAAGAAAACTCTAAATGGGGTCACAAAGGATTGGACACAACTAATTCAACTGCCTTTTTGTATACATTAATATTAATGTAGTCATTATGTAGACTTTTCTTTTGATTCTGCTCACTTGGCTCTGCATCAGTTGATATGAGTCTTCAGGTGCCTTAATAATTTTTGTATTTAAACCATGACACAGCACCAAATTCTGGGATCATACAGAACAAATGGGAGCAGTTATAAAAATCATATTTCGGGCTCATTTGCTCTCATCTAGAATTTCCTCTGAGAAATATATATATACATATATATATATATATATATATATATATATATATGACATACATAACTATATATATCCTACATATAATTATATATATATAATATAAAATAGAATAGAATATAATTTATGTCCAGGTTTCCACTGATGTGGGTCAAAGGTCCTCAGTTCCTATGCAAGCATTCAGCTTGCTTACTGAGCATAAGATAACCTTCATTTCATCCAACAGGAAATTCAGAAAACACCCAAAGGATGACAGTAATCTATAAGCAGATAAAACTCAACTCCTTTTCAATGAGCCCCACCTCTCCCCCTCCCTTTCTTCAATGATGTTTGTAGTCCTCCAAATTCCTATGTTTGAGCTCCACTAGAAGGGAAACCAAATTTAGGACTGCTTGAAAGATAGTCCTCTAACATTTTACTGAGTTTCATTTTTATCCCAGATATTAAAATTATTTGGGGAAGCTAAATGACACAGTGGATAGAGCACCAGGTCTGGTGTCAGGAAGACCTGAATTCAAATCCAGCCTCAGACACTTACTAGCTATGTGACCCTGGGCAAGTCACTTAAGCCTTTTTGCCTCAGTTTCCTCATTTGTAAAATGAGCTAGAGAAGCTAGAGAAGAAAATGGCAAACCACTACAGTAACTTTGCCAAGAAAACCCCAAATGGGGTCACAAAGAGTTGGACACAACTGAAAATGACTGACCAACATAACAACAACATTAAGATTCTTTATGGTATGAATCTAAAGGCTTGACTCCCTTCAAAAGGAAAATGAACTTGGGGTTGCTGGAAAGGCAAAACTCTTCCCACTGGATTTACATCATCCAAATACTCATAATAGTAGTAGATGGCAGAGGCCAGGTCTTTTAGTTCCCTCCATTCTAGCTGAAGTCCCTTGCTAATCTTCCAGCTACAGGGCCATGTGCACGATCTAATTCTCTCTAATGCGTTTCCCAAGAATCACCCCTGACCTTTCTCCTTCAAGCAAGTTGAGTCTCAGACCTCTGCAGGATTCATTATTTCTACAGACCCGCAAACACTGGCTTTTTCTTTCATTATCTTTCACAAGAAGCGCTGTTGTGGAGAGGGCAGAAAGTAGGTCCTAAAGATAGAAGGACCTAGGTTCAAGTCCCAGCTCTGACACATACTGGCAGTATTACCCTTAGTAAGTCACTTAAACTCTCAGTATCTTAGGAAACTAAGAATATGAATTTGCAAAGAATGTACCAATTTACATTGGAAAAGGGAATTTCTTCATCTGAGAGTTTCCCAGTACAATGAAATCACACATCCAGTCCCTATCATCTTTGATTTAACTGATGCTTAGTGGATCATAGAATTATAGATTTGGAACTAGAAGGGACTTTAGAAATTATCTAGTCCAACCCCTTCATTTTTCAGATAAGGAAACTGAGAATCAGAGGATCTGCCTTGCCCAGAATAATGAAGGCATGAGTAACAGAGTTGGTACTTATTCCTAGCTCCTGTGATACCAAACTGAGACCCAGAGAGTCTAAGTGACTTGCCTAATAGTATGCCGGAAATCAATAGAGAGAGATATAATAAGTCATATAGCAAGAACAAGGAATGATCAATGGACAGCTCCAATCCAAAGGTATTCATCTACTATCAAAGGATCTAAAGAAAATACCCTGAAAGGTTGGGTAAATGTCCTATGTAGAACTTATGGGAAGATATGGCCAACTCACACAACCCTAAATTTGGTTTCCCTCTAGTGGAGTTCAAACCATAGGAATTTGGAGGACTACATATATCCTTGGGGAGGAGGAGGGTGAGAGGTGGGATTCACTGAAAAGGAGTTGGGTTTTATCTGTTTATAGATTACTGTGATCCTTTGTGTGTTTTCTGAATTTTCTATTAGATGAAATAAAGGGGTTGAGATCTATATTTCTCAAGGAAATATCCACATTGATGACAACACATATCTGTAAAAGTAAGCAAATTGATCAGTTGATTAATGGATGATGAAAGTCATGCTACAGGATAAATTAGGAGGTGAAGAGGCTGGTGGCAGGAAGACTAATAAAGAGGTATTTGCAAGTATTGAGAACCTGCTAGTGTGGCACCAAGTACAATGGCCAGGAGGAAATTGATATTAGAGATATTCTGAAGGAAGAATGGGCAGAATCAGTGAGGAGATACAGTGGATAAGGAGACAAATGAAATAAAGTTGACTATGGTTATAAGCCTGAGCACCTAAGGCACTGCTGACTCCACCAATAGGATGAAGGAGGCTGCTAGAGAGAGCTGAATTTCAATAAGAGATCATAGGAATTAAAGCTGGAAGGGCTAGTCCATGCAGCTTAATATCCTCATTTTATAAAGAAGAAAAGGAAGTGACTTGTCCCAAATCATACAGGTAGTATCAGAGTTAGGATTCAAATGCAGATCTTCCTGAGGTAACTGAATAGCACAGGGGATGAACTGTTGGACTTGAAATCAGGAAGACCTTGGGCAAGTCATTGAACCTCAGCCTTGCTTTCTTCACCTGTAAAATGGGGATAATAATAGCTCCTGTCTCATAGAGTTTTGTGAGAAACATATGAGATGACGTATGTACAGGAGTACTTGTGGTCACAGTCCAGGAAAGGAGTAAACACCTCGCCCCTTATCATACCTCCTTGGAAGAACTGAAAATTTACAGGTCCCTACAAGTATCTCTGAAAACAGCTGTACAAACCCCTGAAGCTTGGGACAGTACACTCTCCACATTGGAAGCAGACTCTTACCTTAACAAAGAGTTTAAAACTCAAGTAATTAGCTGGGATCATAAGCAAGCAGAGCAAAAAGAGTCAGACTATATTATCCTACTTTGGTGACAAAGAAGATCAAAATATACAACCAGAAGAAGACAACAAAATCAAAGCTCCTACATCCAAAATGATGGCTATAATTTTCATTCTGACTTCAAAACCAGTGTTCTTTCCATTACACCACACTGTATCCCTTATTGTTGAGGTTTAGAGTTGGGAGAACTGGTTCAGATGTGAAAGAATTCACTTAGACCTTCTCTGCAACCTTTGGGAGCTTTACTGATGCAAAAGCAACAGGCTAGCTCTGCAAAGAGGACTAGCAACTTACAGAGGGATAGGAGTCTGTTTTATCTTACAAGACAAGGGTGGGGATTGTCATGACACAGGATGAGGAAGATGGATGATAGGATGGGGGACCCAGGATAAGGAAGACAGGGGAAATATTATGACTCATGATGAGGGAGACGAGGCTTTTTATGGTCCAGGATAGGGAGGAAGTTTTATGGTATCTCAAGATGAGGGAAAGAGGGGGGCAGAGCCAAGATGGTGGAGTGAAAGCAGTGACTTCCTTGAGCTCTCCCCCAAACCCCTCCAAATACTCATAAAAAATGGCTCTAAACAAATTCCAAAGCAGCAGAACCCACAAAAAGACAGAGTGAAACAAATTTCCAGCCCAAGACAACCTGGATGATTGATCAGAAAGGTATATCATGCTGGGCTGGGAGCGCAGTGCAGGTGCGCAGGCCACAGTGAACCTGGAGCAGGCCTCAGAGGACTGAATCTCGGGCAGCTGTGGAGGTTTCCAGACTCCTCAATCCACAAATGCCTAAGACAACTTAGAAGGTCAGTGGAAAAAGTCTGTTTCTGTCAGTGCTGAGAGAGGAAGGCAGGGTTTCAGCTCCATTCACCAAGAGCGTGGCCCTGGGAGGGGCAGCTGCTTCCTGAGCTTCCGGCCCACAGACTGAGGGGGAATCCAGTGGCTGATCAGAGAGGGACTGCAGGGATCTCTTTGCCAGTGCTCAGGCAGGAATCTCTTGCTTTCTTGTGTGTGGATCTGGGTCACAGTTCTGGGCTGAGGTGCTGGGGTGAGGAGGAGCACTGGCGTGGTAGAGCTTGTAGTGGCTGTAGAGAGGAACCCCTCCTCACAGTTACAGGACAGAAAGGAGTACTTGTAGTCACAGGCCAGGAAAGGAGTAAACACCTCACCCTTATCATACCACCTTGGAAGAACTGAAAATTTACAGGTCCCTACAAATATCTCCGAAAACAGCTATACAAACCCCTGAAGCTTGGGACAGTACACTCTCCACATTGGAAGCAGACTCTTACCTTAACAAAGAGTTTAAAACTCAAGTGATTAGCCGGGATCATAAGCAAGCAGAGCAAAAAGAGTCAGACTATATTATCTTACTTTGGTGACAAAGAAGATCCAAATATACAACCAGAAGAAGACAACAAAATCAAAGTTCCTACATCCAAAGCCTCCAAGAAAAATATGAATCAGTCCCAGGCCTTGGAAGAGCTCAAAAGGGATTTTGAGAAGCAAGTAAGGGAAGTAGAGGAAAAACTGGGAAGAGAAATGAGAGTGATGCAAGAAAATCATGAAAAACAAGTCAACAGCTTGCTAAAGGAGACCCAAAAAAATACTGAAGAAAATAACACCTTAAAAAACAGCCTAACACAAATGGCAAAAGAGGTACAAAAAGCCAATGAGGAGAAAAATGCCCTAAAAAGAAAAATTGGACAAATGGAAAAGGAAGTCCAAAAGATTACTGAAGAAAATACTTCCTTAAAAATTAGAATAGAGCAATTGGAAGTAGTGACTTTATGAGAAATCAGACACAGTAAACAAATCCAAAAGAATGAAAAATTAGAAAACAATGTGAAATATCTCATTGGAAAAACAACTGACCTGGAAAATAGATCCAGGAGAGAGAATTTAAAAATTTGGACTATCTGAAAGCCATGATCAAAAAAAGAGCCTAGACATCATCTTTCAAGAAATTATCAAGGAAAACTGCCCTGATATTTAGAACCAGAGGGCAAAATAGAAATTGAAAGAATCCACAGATCTCCTCCTGAAAGAGATCCCCAAAGGAAAACTCCTAGGAATATTGTAGCCAAATTGCAGAGTTCCCAGGTCAAGGAGAAAATATTACAAGCTGCCAGAAGGAAACAATTCAAGTACTGTGGAAACACAATCAGGATAACACAAGATTTAGCAGCTTCTACATTAAAGGACGCAGGGCATGGAATATAATATTCCAGAGGGGCAAAGGAGATAGGATTACAACCAAGAATCACCTACCCAGCAAAACTGAGTATAATCCTTCAGGGGAAAAAATGGTCATTCAGTGAAATAGAGGACTTTCAAGCATTCCTGATGAAAAGACCAGAGCTAAACAGAAAATTTGACTTTTACAGGACTCAAGTGGAACATGAAGAGGTAAACAGGAAAGAGAAATCATAAGAGACTTATTAAGATTGAACTGTTTACATTCCTGCATGGAAAGATGATATTTGAACTCATGAGAACTTTGTCAGTATTAGGGTAGTTGAAGGAAAAAAATTATATGTATGTATATGTAGATAGATAGATGGAGGGCACAGGGTGAGTTGAAGATTAAGGGGTCATATCTGGAGAATAAAATTAAGGGATGAGAGAGGATGATACTCGGAGAAGAAAGGGAGAGGTAGAATGGGGTAAATTATCTCAAAAAAAAACAGAAAAGAAAAGTCTCTCACAGTGGAGGGGAAAAGGGGAAGGTGAGAGGGAATGAGGAATCTTATTCTCATAGGATTTGGCTTAAGGAGAGAATAACATACACATTCAATTGGGTATGGAAATCTATCTTACCCTGCAGGAAAATAGGGGGAGAAGGGGACAAGAGAGCAGGGGGGTGATAGAGAGGAGGGCAGAATGGGAAAGAGGGTAATCAGAAGTAAATACTTCTGAGGAGGGACAGGGTCAAAAGAAAGAATAGAATAAATGGGAGGGCAGGACAGGATTAAGGGAAATAGAGTTAGTTTTTCACAACATGTCCACTAAGGAAGTGTTTTGCATAACTGCACATGTACAGCCTATATTGAGTTGCTTGCCTTATCAATGTGGGTGGAGTAGGGAGGGAAGAAGGGAGAAAATTTGGAACTCAAAGTTTTAAAAACAAATGTTAAAAAAATTATTTTCACATGCAACTGGGAAATAAGATATACAGGAAATGGGATATAGAAATCTATGCTGCCCTACAGGAAAATTGAAGGGGAAGGGGATAAGAGAAGGGAGGGGGGAGAGATAGAAGAGAAGGCAGACCAGGGGAAGGGGTATTTAGAATGCATGCCATCTTGGGGTGGGGGGAGTGGTGAGAAATTTGGAACTCAAAAAATTGTGGAAGTGAATGTTGAAAACTAAAAATAAATAAATTTATATTTTAAAAAAAATAAGATAAGGGAAAGAGACTCTAGGATGCCCTCAAGTTCAGGAGGGGCCTCACAAGGTGCTGGAAAAACAACCCTTAATTAAAATGTGTTTCTTTAAAAAGCTTTTAGCTTTTAGGGCACTGTTTGCTTTTACATCATTATTACATAATGCTTTAATTTAAAGGTATCAATTTCCTAATGGAAAAAGGTAAGGATAAACAATCCTTCATAGTTCCCTTCAAACCAAGTATGAAGTGACTATATATTATTTCAACCTTTTGAGCAAGTGTTTAGTGTGCAAGAGGGCATTTACCCTATACCAGGGCTGGGGAACCTGTGGCTTCAAGGCCACACATGGCCTTCTAGGTCCTCAAGTACAGTTCTTTGATTGAAATGAATCAAGATTGGATCCAGTCAAAGGGCCACATGTAGCCTCAAGGCAATGGGTTCCCCACCCCTGCCCTATACCATGTGGGTAGACTGGAGAGGGATCAGGGAGGAATCAGCAGTGACCTGCTATCACAAAAATTTATATGTCCAGCTTTGCTGAGCTAGCTCAAACACTGCAGGATCTAAGGTCCCCCATGTCCACTAGACTGCATCATGCTTAATCCCTTTGTTTATTAAAGTTGGACAAAGTGCTGGCAAATTACCTTTTCACTTTTGGGAAAGGCTTGGCAGAGGAGAAAAACCAATGATTGCAACATCTGTTATCAAAGATGCTGGCTGGCTTGAGAAGAAGGGGAGTTAGCAAATGTTGCTTCTTTGTTTCTACAGTTAATCTTTTTTTTTTATTTCTGCTGTTAATCATTTATGAGATAACGATGCTTGACCACCCCATACTCCTTTCAATTCAGCCCTTGCTTTCCCACCCACACACTCATACATCCTCTCTCCACTTTCTTGGATCTCAGCAGTGGAAGAATAATACGTCAACTAGTGGATATTCATATAAACTCCACCCTACAGAGCTAGGGACTGGAAAAGATCTCAGAAACTCTCTACAGTGAACAATCAAGACCTCTTGCTCCAGGTCTCCTGACTCTCAACTGGCTAACTGCAGGTTAGTAGTTTGTTATGAATTAAAGGTGCCCTGGAAGAGATGAGGGCAGAAGGGTTCGGGGAGGAGGAAGGAGCAGATCATAGCTGCAGAATTCAAGTTGCCAGCAGGAGACCAGTAAGTGCTGTTGGAATGGGAGTCACCTGGTTGATTTTTCTGCCATTTTATGCAGAGGGGGGCTAAAACCCCGAAAGGTAATGCGACTTTCCAAAGTCTCCCCTGTGATATACAGGAAGCTAGGAAATCAGAGTAGCTGTCAGAGAGCCACCCCATGTAAAAATGTAGAGTTGGGGAAGTTGGTCATTGATGACCCCACCTCTCCCTTCTTCATTCTTTCCCTGTCAGACCATGCCATTGGGCCCTGCTGCACTTGGTATAAGACAAACACTGCACCACCACTCTCATGCAGCCAGCCCCTTCACCCCCAACCCCCGCCCTTGTCACAAAGTAAAATGACTTGAAAAAGGTAATTCCTATAACAGTGCTAGTAACAATCCGTTGTTCATCCAACAGAACTATTGATCTCCTATGACCTTTTTATCCCTGTATGAAGTATCATGTAGTAATCAATCAATAAGCATTTATTTGTTTATTGAAACAATTATTTGTATTTTTCTTTAAATTTTTTTTCTACTAACATATATCTATTTTTCTCCTTCCCACATTCCTCCATTTCCTCCAGAAAAAAGAAAAAACAAAACCCTTGTAATACATGTGTATAGTCAAGCAAAACAAATTCATTGATTATGTCCAAAAACATATCTCAAGCTACACACTGAGTCTATCGCCCTTCTGTCGTAAGGTGGGTAGCATGCTTCATCTTGGGTCCTCTGGATTAGTGGCTGGCCATTGTGTCGATCAGATCAACAGGCATTTATTGAGCTCCTGCTGTGTGTTAGGAAGTATACCAATGCAAAAGAGGTTTCACATTCTAACTATAATAATAACAAAGTAATAAAAGTGCTAAGGTAGGGTGCTGAGTGAGAGCAGTAAAGAGAGCATTGAACCTGGAGTCAGGAGTGAACTAGGTTCAAATCCTAGCTCTAACACTTTTTTTTGACAAGGCAATCAGGGTTAAGTGACTTGCCCAGGGTCACACAGCTAGTGAGTATCATGTGCCTGAGACTAGATTTGAACTCAGGTCTTCCTGACTCCAGGGCCAGTGCTCTATCCACAGCACCACTTAGGTGCCCCTGACAACCTCTTTAAATCTTTCTTCTCGTTTATTGAACAGAGATAATGCTGGTACTCACGGGTCAGTGAGAGGGAAATACTTGTACCCTTAAGGCATAATATAAACATAAGCTACTATTATATTCTAGGATTTCAGGGAAAGGAGAGCTCAGTGAAGTCTAGAGTAGTCAGGGAAAGCCTCATGGAGGAAGTGACTAATCCAAGATAATTAGATAATTTATTGACAAAATGGGGACTAGAACCCCATCCACTGATTTTTGACAATAATGCTATTTTTGCTACATAGCACTACCTCAGGGGATCACAAGGAATACTGCTAACTGGGGCTAAGAGTAAATGTTGGAGAGTAGAGAGAAATCTAATTACTAGGTAAGAATGGGACTAAGTTATGGAATCATATTGTTAAACTCACGTAGAAGGATTTAGACATCATGTCATAGCATTTAGGGAGCCATGGAAGGTTACTGAGCTGAAGAGTGACAAAATTAAAACCATATTTTAGGAAGGTAAATGTAGCCAGAGCAAGCTGGAAGGAGTAAGAAAGACTGGACTTCGTGAAGGTAGTTAGCCTGCTGCAGTCATCTCTATTTCAAGGATTCGTAGTTTGGCATAAGTTGTTCCAAGTGGGAAATAAGAGGAAGGGATAAATCTAAGACATATTTGCAAAGGAAGAATATGGAATTTGCAAAGGACAGATACGGAAGGTGAATGACAGATATGAGTCAAAAGTTATTTCAAGGTTTTATGCTTTGGATAACTGAAAGAACTAGTGATATTATCAAAAAGAAGGAAATGTGGAGTGTTGTTTAGAGCTAAGAGCCAACAATCAGGACTGGGGATTTGCAGCATAACAGGCCCCCCCCCCCACAATTTTCTGCAACACTATCATACTCCAATTTTGACCACCAGATGGCCTACCAAAATGGCAAAGAACCACCCACTGGACTTCCAGCTTCTGGAGGAAGGCCATGACAAACTGATCAAATTAGTTTTACCTGTATTTTGGGTTTGTTTTTGTTGAACCTGTGATTTCATTGGTATAGGGAACTCCCAGGAAGAAAACTCCCCCTATTAATGCAGAGCAGTATCTCCTGTTCAACTTAGAAGTCTTCACCTGTGGTCAAATATTGAGAGCCATGCTCTCACAGTCAGAGGTGGGATTTGAACCCAGGTCTTCTTAATTCCAGGCTGAGTTTTTTCTACTCTGGTCATGCTGGAAGAATATCTCATGCAAGTACCAGTTTTGTTGGAGGGCTTTCTTTTCTATTATCCTCAGGTTTCTGGTTGACATTTTAATCAACTCTGGATTAGAAGAAATGACTTGCTGTTCTTTCTCATTTGGATTTCTTGATCATTCTCCGGTCTAGTTCAAATTTCAGGGTTTGCAGGAATAGGCACACGGGAGTTGGGCAGCCTACCTCCCATCCAAGTGGGTGTCTTGGCAAGAAGCCTAATTTTCCTTTTAAACAAATTCAGCATGTAACTTTCTAAGCTGCCTTGCTTTTCTGTAATTCCTTCTGGCATTTCTTCTTCTGTGTTTATTTGAAAAGAAATTCCTCAATGACCTTACTCTTTTTTTTTTTGGTTCTCCCTATCTTTTCCTCTCCTTTCTCTCTCAAACCTCAAACTCATTAAGAAAAAAAAAAGGCATTGTGACAAATGTTAATAACCAAACAATACCAATTCCTACATTGACTGTGTCCAAAATGTGTGTCATATTCTGTATCTTGTGTCTATCATCTCTCCATCAGGAGGTGGTTGATGTGTTTCTTCATCAACTCCCTGGTGTTGTGGTTGGTTATTTCTTTGAATAGAGTTCTTAAGACTTACAAAGTAAGTCTTACTTAAGTCTTACAAATCTTGTTTTATTTTGCAAGGTTGTTGCTATTATATAAAGAGTTCTCCTGGTTCTGCTCACTTTATTATATGTCAGTTCATACAAGTCATCCCTGGTTTTTCTGAAACCATCACTTTCATCATTTCTTATGGGACAATAATATTCAGTTACATTCATATACCATACTTTTTTCAGCCATTCCCAAATTTATTGCTGCCTTCTTAGTTTCCTATTTTTCACTATGACAAAAAGAAACCTTATATATATTTTTGTACATATGAACTTTATCCTTCTTTCTTTGATATCTTGGGTTATAGGCCTTGTAGCAATATAGCTGGACCAAAGAGTATATAATAGCAATCATTTTAAGGGAGCTCAATTTCTGCTTGTAGATGGGTAGGATTTAGATAGGAGACAAAAGCACTGCCTAGGTGGAGGAAACTATATTAGGAAAGGCACTGAGGTAGAAGTGAGCATGAAACTTTGGAGGGAAGGGGTAGTAAGGGGACTATCCAAAATGAAGTGTTTTTAAGTATAAGGTTGGATAGGAAATGGGTATAAAGTTGGGTAGGAAATGATGAATATGTTGATGATGATAGCTCACATTTGCAAAACCTTTTAATATTTATGAATCTCTTTCCTAAGATCTAGCTCTATCAGTCAGCATCATGGACTCAGAGTCAGATGACCCAAGTTTGGGTTTTAGCTCTTTCATTAGTTTTATGTCCTTGGGCAAGTAATTTTATCTTTCTAGCCTCAGTTACCTCATCTTTATGATGAGGGGAAATAATAAAGGCACTATCCATCTCCTAGGTATTGTTGTGGAGGGTTGTTGTGGAGACCAAATGAGATAATGTATGCAAAGCATTTTGAAATCCATCCTTTCCCCCAATTCTAGAAAAATCACAGTTAGCATTGCTATCTGGAAATACAGCATGGTGTGATTGATAGAGAGTTGGGCTTCGACTCAAGAAGATCTGGGTTCAAGTACTGCTCTGACACATACTGGCTATGTGACTCTGAGTAAATCACTTAACCTCTCAATACTCTAGGCAGCTCTTTAGGAGTATAAGTTGCAGAGACATGCTTTGGTTGTGAGAGTTTATTCATCTAGGAGTTTGCTGCATGAGTGAAATCACATGTCTATCTATAGTCCTGAGGTCGTCATTATTATCTAACTTAGGGGATAGGTGTCACATAGCCAGAGTCACATATCCCTTAGGTAATAGATACTACTCTTTGTCCATATATTCTGCTTAGGACATTGTGAATACCTTTTCTCCACTTAAGAATTAAAAATTATCCTATGATGAATTTCTTTTAAAGAAGAAACTTTTTTAAATGCTTTGAAGAATTATTGTCCATGAATAAGTTCTGAAGCAGGAACAAAATATTGCCAAGAAAATGCCATTGTTTCCATTTCTATGGGGAAAGCAAATTTTCAAGACTGCAAATTATTTAAATGAATTTATATTTAAGGCTGGTACATGACATGAGAGATTAATTTTCTATTCTATAATAACTAATCTAGTTTGTTTTGTTTTGTTTGCCTGAATCAAGAGGCCAATTTCCAACTTAATTTACCAGAAAAACTTGGAAGAAACACTTGATCACAGACTTCCCAAGGGTTATAAAGGAGATGGCATATAGGAGAGAGAAATGGAAAAGATATGGTCCAACTCTATTTCAAATAATCTTGTCTTTTGCTCTGCTGGCCAGGGTGCATGGTAAGTGATGGGAAATGGGGGAAAAGGTCAGATAAACATCAATCATTTGAACATATCAGTACAACTCACTTCCAATCCCCACCATCATTTAATCATAATCAAAGGAGGACCAAATGTCTGGGAGAATCTCTCTCTAGTATTACCAAAGGGGTTTGTTGGATAGCATACTCAAATATAATAATATTACATTAGTGTTATGCAATGACTGTTTTCTACACCTTTCTTCTTAAACTCTCAGGTAGTAC